TAACTTTATTTTAAATAGTAATCAGCAGAGACTGTAATGTATTCTCTTTTGATTTTATGCATGGCTGATAAAAAAAGTATATATATATACATATATAAACATATATTATTTAAAGCCATCTTATGCCTAATTTTCCACATTAGCCCAGTTTCGAATCTTGATTCGCTGCATTTTTCTTAAATGAAATAAATCAATTCAGGTATTTATTTGCACAAATGTTTATTTATCGAAATTTTCTTGATTAATAATAAGAAGAAACAAAGAAGAGGAAGAGAAAAGAGAGGCTTGCACCAGTTGGGTTTGAACCTTGCCTTTATTTTGGATAAAAGAATTTGGGTATTTGTACAAGGTAATATGCTGAAATATATGATTGTATTAAAATAGCTCAATTCATACAACAAGCGCTCAGCTTATATTATTTTACCCTTATACTAATTTTTTACGAAATACTCATGCCGCATGACACATCGAATGTGCTTTTTGCTAGGGCATACGCGCAGTGCAAGGCAGGCGAACAAAATGCTATGCAGGAATTTTTGCGTTCATTGATAAAGTTCGTCAGCAAACAAGGGAATCAACGCAACCCAACCCAGCCCATCCTGTCATTCGTCTTCTCGCCCCGTACACCCCACTGCCCATGGCAGTTGGCTCAATTGTGTTGGGTGCAAAATAATTTACATATTATGAGAGCTGGCAAAAAAAGTGGGATAGTACGGAAAAACTGCACGAGTGCGTGGCAAATGGCGGGGAATGGAAAACAGGAACCACTCGATTGAATGGCAGTCGCTGCTGTCGCCTGACAATGGTTGCGGACACCTATCAACTACTTGGATGTCCTTTTTTTATCATCTCTATGGCATGTGGAATATGCGACACTAAAATGGAGCTCCAAAGTGTATGGGTTTTTTTTGTGTCTTTCTTTCGAATGGTGCGCGACAAATCTGTGTGGCATATGGGTTGGCAATTGGTTATTTTATAGCAGTTTTTATTGTGGTTTAAGTGCGGATAGAGAAAGCGCAGAAAGCATTATTTATGCCAAGCAGAGGACACGAATATCAGTTGCCGTAATCCGCATAATGGTGGGCCCCAGCTTACGGCCCAGCGAATGTCTGGCTCTTTGAGGTGACGCCATAAAATTAATTTTAAAACATTTCGAGCTTAATCATTCGTGCTGATAAAAGGCGACAGTTGTCCCCGAGGATAATTGCGTATGCGTGTGGCACACACAAGCAACTCAGACCCAAAACAGAGAGAGAGAGAGAGAGAGAAAAAAAAGAAACGAGGATGCCAAGTCAAAATGACTACGTCCAGGGGCATTTAAGGCATAATTTGTGAACAAAATATATTTGCTGGCTTATGCAGAAAATTTGCCTCCCAAACAGGAACCCAACTTTGAACCACCGACCGCCAACAGCCCAGTGGCAATTCTCTCTGCGCCACTTGTAGAACTTTACGAAAACGTGCGGCGCTTTTCAACTCTGGCCAGGCGTACGAGTGGGCGGCTATCAGTTTTACGAGTCCTTTGAGAGTCATACTTGTTAAATTTTCGACCCGTCGCTACTCTCTGTTGGGACTCGGGTTTGGGTGTCCGGGGAACCGCTCGAAACATGCCAGAGATTTGCGTTTGGCAACTGGCTTTTGATATTCAATCATGTCGAGCATTGCTAAAGAAACGCACAACTTACCAGCACACACACCCGGACACACACACACACAGCCGGACAAACGCACACACACACCGATTGGGAGACATTCAACTGGCCTTCAATTTATTTGTAATAATGGTCTCTCATTTTTAAATGTGGCCTTTTTTGCTTTGGCTATTTTTTTCTCCTTTTTTTATTTATTGTCTGCGTTGCCTTTTATTATTCAATCGCAAACGAAATGTATGTTTTTTTTTTAATTTTATTTCTTTTAAAATTCAAACTGAAATGATTCCATGATTTTTTACGGATCAACAGCTGGTCCCATATCAAACTGATTGAGGCAAAAAGTTTCCTAGAAAATGAAAAGTTTTTACTAAATATATTTAATTTGAAAAATGACATTTGATTGATAAATAGAAAAAACATTTTTTTTTTTTGGACAAACGTTATAAATGTGAGAAAAAGTGCTAATAAATGGCGTGCATTATATATTACTTAGCGAAAAAAGTTACATAACTAAAACGCCAAATTTAAAAAATGGAAATTCATTTAAAATTTCTCCTTTGTTATCCATGTTCACTTTTCATATATTGTTTTAGACCTGTTTGTACTAAAATTAACTTTTGTCTAACAAAATACTCTTTACATTTGTCTAGTTGAAATTTAAATGCGCTCAACTGGATCTATGTGGTTATATTTTAATTTAAATTGTCTACTTTCTGAATTCGAAAGCATTTTATCTTGCACATTCGAATCAAATTGTGAGTACATATTCAAAAATTAAATGCGACATATGCATTTAAAATTCTAGTCATTGGAAATTCCATCTCTTAAGCCTTATAACTGGTTTATTTGGTATTCAACTGCTTTTAACCGATTGCTTGTCTATTTGGGAGAAAAAAGTTCAGCAACGAAATAAAAGTGGCTACCAGGGGCAATGGAAAAATAAAAACAAAAAAACAATAACAATTACACTGATTGCCGCCCCCGGAGACTCTGCTGAAAGTTGAAAGTGAACTGACGAATGGTCACGAAATGGAAAATGCCATCGGAACCCCTAGACCGTAACTCGGTCGCTTCTACGGTAGACTTGACCGAGTTACTAGCCCTGTACCCTGAAAACGGGTATTATAAGGTTGTCCCAGAATGTGTCACACATGGCAGTATGCATCTACGATCGCATTGAATATGATCCTGAGTCGAGTCGTCATAGCCATGCCTGTCTTGATGAAATTCGGCATCCGTCTTTTATCGTATCATATACATAAAGATATCATATATATTTCGGGCTTAGTACTTTTTCAAGATAGTTTAAGCTTAAATGTCAATTACAAGCTTTATTGATTTATAAGTATATATATGGACCTACTGTACAGAAGATATATTTGCCACATGTAACATTGTTCGAAAATTGAGTTCTACAAGAACTGTGTTCAGCTGGGAAAGTATGCAAGGGTGTACAATATTCGTCTATTCTGGACATTGTTCTGAAGATTCTTGTTTTTTGTTTTCTTTGTTTTACTGGAACAGGCAATGCCATAAAACAATTGAGAGCTCAATTTTGCACGGCCGGTGGGTTTTATTTTACATAACTCCTTCTGTTCGAGAAAAAGGATGCGCCTGCAGCGCAGGATATGCACATTGCGAATGATTTCAGTGCCAGTCGTAACTTTGTTAGTCCCGCACACACACACGCACACACACCGCCAAGGGGCAACTGCCAACATTTATCTGGCAAAATGTTTTGCCCTGCCATTACTCGCATTGTTTCTGCCAGCAGCAGGATGTGCTGCCCGGATAAGGATGGGGCAAGCTAGAGGGTTATGCATCGCTTATGTGCGTAAAAATTCTATTTGATTATTGCACGTTTATGTTGGCGAAGAATGGCCCAGGAGCCAGCAGCCAGGAGCCAGGAGCCAGCAGCCTGGACAATGCATGGCTATTGAATTTCGTTTGCTTCTGCTGGCTTAGAGAGCTACGAAATAGCTAAAATATTTATTCGAAATATTTATTTCCTGCAGCAGGATACGAAAGAAAATGCATTGACTTTGATGGCGCACACACTGCGTTATCCCCCTCTTTAAAGAGCGGCACCCTATCAACTCGTGTGCTGACCAAAGCAAATATCTTAAATGGACTGCATCAAAGGATTGCGTTTAATTATTTCTGTGGTCTGTGCGGGGAATGGAAGCTAGCTCTTCAGTAACATGGCAACGTTTCTTCTACTTTAATAGCTGCAATAAATTTCAAACTGAAACATTAAACATGTCCCAGCTATATATATCCCGGGTCATGTTGTGCACGTTCCACCCATGTGATCCCCAATTGCATGGCCAGTATGCAAATAAATGTCCAGAATCTGCAAGTAAAATTATTTTCTTTTAAGTAGGTAATCAAGAGCAATGAGCTCGCCGTGCACAGTATATAGTCCGATTGCGCTCATTTTGAAAGGGTTAAGTTTGGATATGCTTAAGACGGGCAAATACTTTTGACTTCTTGCGCTTCTCGCTTCACTTCTTACTTCGCTTTACGCATTGCTTCACGGTTTCTCTCTACGCGTCTCTTTTAATTTATTGCTTCGCTTCTCTCTTTACTTTACATTTTAGCTGCTCCCTTCGCTTCTCGCTTCCCTACGCCTCCCATTTCTCGCTTGACGCTGCTTCTAACTTCGGTTCTTGCCTTCTTAATAATTTGTCTTCTCAATATGTTTCTCGCATCGCTTCCTTAACTAACTTCTCTTCTCACTTTAATTTTCACTGTGCACATGCTGTTTACTTTTAAGCTCTCTTTTAACCTTAATTCGTTTCTCACTTATCTTCGCTTCGCTTCTTACTTAATTTTATGCTTTGCACAATTCACTTCTCACTTCTCATCTCCAATTGTTTCACTCCACTCACCTACTTACCACCCTTTCTGTGCAGTTAACGAGGCTCTACGCCTCGCTTTGTTGCGCAAACTGTCATTTTTCGGTTAGTTTCGTTTCTCTGACGACCTGCATAATCATAAATTATGGTTTACCTAAGAATAACATTCAATTTATTTAAATGAGCTTTACCCATTGTCCCTGCCATCTTTTTTTCTCTAACTTTTTTGTGTGTTTTATCTTTGCAGCATAGAAATGAATGTCAACGCGTTTTAAGGGCGCTCAGCTCTCGCTGCTGGTGGCCCATAAAAGAATCAGGGCCGGAACGTGACTTTTGGCGCAAGTAAATTGAAGCCGCAGAGCAATAAAAAAGTGCAATGCCAACCTGAGCGTAATTCGTTAGCGAAATCAAACAGATAAAGGAGATATATATATATATATATATATATATATATACATAGTTTGTCCATGGCGGCCACTTCAGCTGCATCAGGAATGGGCGCAGCCAGGCGACTGCATCATTTACCCAGCCCGGCCATTTGGATGCTGTTACTGCCGCTGCTTGCCGCAGCTGCGACGGCAGCCCCGACATCAACGCCGACCGCGGATCGTCGTCGGTGCGCACACAAAGGCATCGCAGAGCTTATTCGCACCAGTCCGGTAATTGTCAAAGCTCTGGCAGCTCGCATCTTCACCGATGCCGAACTGGCCGATCAGGCGGTGGACATGGCCTCCGCACCGCAGGCTGCCACAATTTTAATCACATTAACTCCTGAAACGATATACAAAGGCGCCTCGCTGCTCAAAATGGCCAATGGCGCCGCTGCTGGGACAGGCGATGGCAGCCTGGGCGCCGACGGCTTTGCATCCAACGGAGCGCTACGCGGAGGATTTTTTAGCGGTTCCAGTGCTTGGAGCGGGAGCGGTTCAGCCTATCAGTATGAGGGGTAAGTGCAGCTAATTTTTTAATAAAAATCAAAAATCATATTTAAAATTTGCAAATTGCAATGTTTGGATTTATCCTTAAGGAAAGCTCATGTTTCAAGAAAATAACTTTTGATTCCCGATAATCATTAAGAATATTTCCTTAAAAAATTGTTTATGTTTTTTTTACAGGGTTAGCTTCTGAATCTGAAATATGTACAATCTTAGGTATTGGAACAGCTTAGATCGTAAATAAAACTTTTACCATACCTGCTGTATATGAAATATACAATCCAATTAGGGGCATTGCTCAGTATTAAAAATATAAAATGAATTATCGGAGTATCTCGATATTTAATTTGGGGTATGTGCATCGGCTTCATAGTTAATTAAGAACTGAAGTAGGGGAATGCCACTATGAATTGAATGCCTAATTGCATTTTCAACAGATATGTGCATCCCATACTTAGTGGATGTGCGGCTTTTCATTTTGTGCTGACTCTTTATTGGCTTTAACTTTGTCTACCCGTTTTCCCCTCTCTTGGCTCTCTCATAGGCAACTGAATGCCACATTGCAGCCGCTGCAATGCTTCGATGCTAATATGCTGAAAATGTTGCCCACGGAATTAATTGCTTTTGGCAAATTACTGCCTGCCTCAGCGGTAACCGGCACCGGCTTTCCAGGCAGCCCGGGGGGCGCAGCTGTGGCCTCCAGGCAGATGCAGCGACCACCGCAGGGATCAGGCTTGGGTGGTGCCGTTGACATGGCCAACGACAAGGAAGTGCTGCATATCAGCGTCAACGGGCTGCATCGTTGGACGCCGCAATTCGAGAATCATATCTGGAAGCATTTGGGTAAGTTGACCCTTTACGCCTGCTTCTTGTTGTTGCCCCAATTTTCGCAGTGGTTGTTGTTTTTGTTGTTGTGACATTTCCGCTTGTTAATCGCATTTCGCTTGTTGGTTGCATTGTTCAGCAAATCTCCTTTGCGGATGTTTGTGGAGTTTACGTGCATCTCCGGTTCGAGTTTCGGAACAACAACGCATAACTAGCTCGATGGACAGCTCAGTCGGCCAATCAAACCTAAATGCTGGCTTCCAAATTTCCCCCATATCAAGTTTATCCACGTGTATTCGAATTTTTCTTGTTTTCCTTTGCCTTGCCTGAAAGCTATCAGGTTCACTTGATCTGATTTTAAATTAAGCAAATATTTCAAATAAAAAAGAAGAGAAACTTATTCTATGTTATACTATATACATATATTCAATAATTTTATCAAATTATTTTTCTTTAATTAAATTATTAAATTCCAAAGGTTCTACGGAAAATGAACCTTTTACAAGCAAATTTAAAGCTTCCAACCATTTGACAAAACTTATTAAAATTGATTTTCAAAGGCTTTAAGCTTCCTAATTGAGTTGCTTTAAATACAAAATACTTTACAAATGTGTAACGCTTAGCTAAATTATGTTGCAACTTTTAAGGACAACGCGTAGTTCGATATTTTTTCATTCATACCTTTCATATTTCTAATCAATTAATCTGGGATGAAGATTGATAACTGGCAGCCCATTGAAATTACCCAACAAACTTGTTGTCATGCCTGTGTGCATAGCACAGTTCGTTCTATAAAAAAAATATATATACTATATAGAAAAATATTTCGATGATGATGACGCAGCATGTGACTAGCTGCGAGTCCGTGTGTCCGATTATCCTCCTGTGCTGACAGCACAAGCACGAGGCGCTTTCAAACTGGCGGCAACCCTTGAGGAAAGTAACACTTGACTTTTGTGTCAAGAGATAGATAGCATGCCCCCCCCCCCCCCCCACCCACAGACACACACACACGCTAAAAAAATTGTGGCAACAATTCAAGAGGGTTTTTTTTTAGGTGAAAGGCAGAACATAAAAACCAAGCTTAGATTTTTTTTTTATTTTTAGTGATTATGACTGGCATAGTTGCATAGATACAAAGATTCATAAATGTTGTTACATAAATACATGGATACAAAGATGCACAGATACATGCGTACATATACACACAGTGCTCAGCATATGAGGCATTTTCTTTTTTTTTGCAAAAATATTTAGTTTTCCAATGTCTGCTTGTGCTACATATTTTTTGTTGTTTTTTTTTTTAGCCATAGTTGAATTCAGGGTGAATTTCCTGTGTAAGGCCTTGCTAGCTATTTCAACACTTCACATTTGATATTTGATTTCTGCTTTGTGTCGCATCCTCAAATGGTTTTTTAGCAAAAAATAAAATTGCAAGTTTCTCGTTAGACGTTTCGTAAACCTAGTTTCATCACATTTCTTTCAATTTTGAAATTGATTTCAACTTATTAAATATTTACTTATTCGCATTGAAGCAAGGTTTTGAATGTACCCCTTAATAGTTGTCATTATTGTTAACTGCAAAGAGCTAGCAATATGCCGCCTATTTCACAGAGTTTATAAAATGCTAATCGTTCCGAGATTTGGGCAATTTAATGGACAAGTGCTTCATTCATCAATTATAGGCTGGGACGATTGGAGCGATTTTACGCTTTGCAGCGTCACATGCGGCAAAGGTGTGCAGCAGCGTTTCCGTCGCTGTCTGCTGGACAATCCACTGGTGAACATTAACATGAATATGAATCTGAATCTGGACGATGACGATGCGATCGAAGAGGAGGAGGAGGTGGCAGAGGAGGAGCAGTTGGATGTCGAGGACGCTGACGAGCCGAATAATGATGCAGCAGAGACAACGACAGCGGCAGCAGCAGCAACAGCAACAGCAGCCGCATTCAATGCTGATAATAATGAAGTGCTCAGTCAGGACGACGTTGCCAGTGCGGGTGGAACACAGGACGAGCCTGAGGATGCGCTGCTGCTGATGATGCAACCAGCAGCAGCTGTTGACTTCCCACTCGACCCAACGAAGCAGCAGTCGATGAGCACCCAGACAACGACAAGAGCAACTGCAACTGCAAATGCAGCAGCAGCAGCAACTGGGCCAACAAGCGGCGGTAATGAAGCGACAGGCACAGGTGTCAGCTTTGTGGCAGTTGCACGTAATGACCGTCGCAGGACACGTGCAAATAATCAGCACAAAAAACGCAAAGTGACCAAGAGCCTAGCCCTATCCACACTACTATGCGAGGGCTACAACATCGAGCAGCGCAACTGCAACAGTTTCGAGTGTAGCGGTAAGTGTTGCCCTCATCCTGCAGAGTCCTTTACTATGTACTCACTGCCCAGCCCCGCCCCTTGCGCATTTACAGATGATATTAGCGATTTGCTCAAGTTCTACAAGAAGCTGCCCGTGCCAGCCGCTGAGGAGCTGCCAACTGTCACCAGCTATGACAATGCGGCAGCTGAGATCTCAGAGCTGACAACACCCGTTTCTGTGGGCGTGCCCTCCTCGTCGACGCCCGCAAATATGGGCTACATCCGCAGCTGGCGGAATATGCTGAACTTTACATTGATGATCACTCTGAGAGCAAAGGTAACGAAATTGTAAAGATATATTTCAATTTGAACACACTTAACCGATCTCTCAGCAATGTCTATCGATAACTAACCACCGATAGAAATGTTGTCCTAGTTGATCAAATACCGTAGCTTAAATCAATAGATATATCCTACATACATTTATGAAAACAAGTGTAAACGGAACTTATCGATAATAATAATCTTGTTATCGATTTGCTTGATGTAGTTCCTAGAGGGGGCTAATGATTTAGTACCATGCAAAGAATATGAGCGCATGTACTAAAATTATTTATAGGCTTTCCCGGAACTGTTACTCAAGCAAACGGAAAATAATCGCAAGTAAGCTGATAAAGATATTTGGTTAATAGATCTCTCTTTCTCGGCGGAGTTATGTCAGTTTAATAGGATTGCTTTTCAGCTAGAAGATGCTCAGCACAACACTAACACAGGTCCTAACGCGTTAATTGCAACTTGTATATCTCTATATATAAAACTGATTGTCCCTGGCTGACTGACCGACTGACTAGCTGGCTGACTTATTGACTGACTTGGAGATCAACGCACAGCCCAAACCGTAAGAACTAGGAAGCTGAAATTTTCACTGTAGTTACCTTATGTGATTAAGGTGCACTTTAAGACGGGTCTTAGGGGTATTTCACATGCATGTGTGGAAAAATCACAAAAAACCTTTTTGTTTACCATCCGATCGGCTTAAAACTATTTTTTAAAGACCTTCGCGACAATTAATTTTTTACGTGCAACGGGCAAGGTCGGGTATACCCGACACAAAGCATTGCACGTAAAGTAATTATAATCTATGCGTCAGTAAACATTGCCAAAGAGCTTTTCCACTTTTCATCAATTCATTCATTTTGCAGAATGATACGAAAAATGATTCGACACTTTTCTCCATACGCAACGGGACACACAATTTGTATCTGGAGTCGTGCAAGGATGGACTTCGTTTGTATCTGGAGCGCGACAATACAACGGAAATGTTGCCGGTGAAATTCAATTTATATGATTATCGTTGGCATCAAGTGGCTATCAGGTGAGTGTGCGAGAAAGAGAGAGATTAAATAGACGGAGCTGTTGTTGTTGTTTTTTCTAGATAGGCAATCAGTGTGCGTGCTTTAAATGGATTTATGTGGGTGTGCGTGTGTGTGAGCGTGCTTCTTGATGGCCATTTCCGTCATTGACACTTTCATTTTATTTGCATTTTCAATTTATTAACATAAATCGCTTGGGCCAATGAAACGCACACAGTGGAGAAACTTGAAGCACACACTTGACACACATGCAAATGGCACGCACAGTCGCACATAAAAGTACGCACTCACACACGAGCACGCACAAACACTCGTATGCACTCAAATACATGAATATCGAGTGTCGCCTTGCTTGTGGCTGTGGTTGTGTGTGTGGATTTTTATATACGATACAGCTACACCAGCTGCCAAATTGACACTTGGTTAAAGTGGGTGCCATTTGTCATCGGCCGTTGGCACATTTTTCTATGCCACTGTACATAATACTCTGTATGTCTTTTAATTATTTGCACCTCTCGCCACTCGTGTTGCCGCATTTTTGCTGCACACAGCATACAAAATGGCGATTTCATATCGATTTACGTCGATTGCTTGTGGACAAACAGTTTTGTTGTCTCGAAGCGACTGTTTACGCTGCCCCTGGACGCGGATGTGGAAATTGGACGCGGCTTTAATGTGAGTATTGGGACAAATTCCAAAAAAATAAATTGACAAACGCACAGCAATAAATTGTTGAGCACTTGTTGGCTGACATATTTAATAACTATAGCTTAACGCATTTGGTGATAAATTAATCGAAATTACATAAACACTCTGTTGAGAGGCAATAACATTTCATTTAAGATCAATTATTGCTATGGAAAGTTTTTAGTTCAACAATTTTTTATTTTGATTTTAAATAATGTTATCGATAATTTATGGAATTGATAATCACTCTTCAGTTTATAAAGGATAGAATAACTAAGATTATAAATTAATTGGAATTATATGATGATCAAATTTTTAGTGAAAGGCATCATTTTGTGTTTATCAATATATAATATCACCAAATATCATTAAAAGCAGTTTTAATAACGCTTTGACAACCGTTGAATGCAATTTGAAACATTTTCGTACACAGCTGAACCATAAACGGAAACAATTTTTGTATTATTAATTTCCCAATTGATTTTCACCGAACGTACCGCCCGCAGCGCTGCGAAAAACAACGTGCGACATTTTACAAGCAATTTCGGAATTGCAACTGCCACACTGTGAACGGGCATGGTGGGGGTGGGGCTGTGGGCGATAGCCCATAAATTGTGCAAACAATTTAATGCGATAACTGTGAATGCTACGCGGCGTATGCGTTATGCACTTTAAATTCTGCATAAAGCCGATAACGCATACGCCTCATTGGTCCCATAAAAATACTTAATATGCAGATAATTGCCATTCAAACGTTCACTTTTAATATATTTAAGCAAAATACATGCATACATATATATATTTGCAGGGGGAGCTGCAACAGTTGCTGGTCCTGCCGGAGCACCAAGAGCGGCTGCAGTGCAGCAACAAGAGGACATCTATTAACGAGGTGAAGCGCTACATTATTGACACATTCATCGAGGACTATGCCAGCAATTGAGGCGTGACGGCATTTATATATGCATGGTAAACACAGCCTATACAATGCCAATAACAGGAGCCAAATCAAATGAGAATCATAAATGTATTTGAGTGGCAAACATGTGAATGTGTAATGAATAATGCAAATCATTTTGAATGTGGCATTCAAATTCAATGGCTAGAAATTTCAGTCTATAAAACTACATATAAATATGCAAAAGCAAAGATAAATATAAACACACTACATATATACATATATTGTGATTGATGTTTCCTAGCAGCGCATTCAAGTATTGTAAATTATGCTCTCGTGTGTGTGTGTGTGTGTGTTATTTTGTAATTATAAATGCACCCACAGTATACGCACGAGTGTTTATCAAGTACTCACCGTAGTATGAATACAATTACGATTAATGCTTACGATATTGCACTATATTACACATGAACACATGTATGTGAATGCCAAAAAAATGTATTTGTAATAATTTAAGTTGATTTGACATAAAACAATAATTATAATGCAAAAAAGAAATGAAATAGTAAAATCAAAAAAAAAAAAAAAAACGATAATTATATTGATGTAAAATGTGCGGCAAAATGCGTAAATGTATTACGAATATGATATAAGAATGGCGCAAAAAGTAAAAATAAATCAATAAACTAATTAACTAATTAATTTTATGCATAAGTGTAAAATGCGAAAAGCGTTGTCATTTTTATATTTATTTAAAGGTTTTTTTTAAGTTTTTTCTTTATTTAAAGAGTTAAGTAAATGATTAAAATTGGCAGATCTAAAACTTGTACGCAATTTCTGAATTTATTTTGACCGGCATGAATATAGGTATGATATAGGGGACACATCCGGCCAGCTATACGTAAGTCAACGGCCGTGCGATCATAGACCATCCGCTTGGGCTAAGTAGAGTATTAGCGAATATGAGTCACTGGGCTAGCTTCGCTTTAAGAATATTTCTAAAAGAATAGTACCTTCTATAACTTAGTGACATAGCACAAGCACTATGCTTTATCTTGTTATCCTCTGCATTCGAAAGATTCCTTTAAGATGTATATTGCTTATTCAATTTTGTGTTCCAACTCAGAGTTTAAAATATGTTAGTTCTTGTCACTTTTACCCTGACAGTTTGTACGTTTCGCATTTACATAGAATGCAAAATTGAAATCTAAGTATGTATTCTAATAAGCCAATCTATAGCCAATTTTTTTATTTTCTATTTTATTTTTTAGGGCTTTGCTTGTTTCTATGCCTCACTGGCTCTGTCTCTTGGCTGTGTGTTGGCTGACTAAGCTCATTTCTGGCCAAACAAAAAATGTGAATTTACATATTGTTCAGCTCTTTCCAGGCACAGAGAGAGAGTGTGTGTGAGTGTGTGTGTGTGTGTGTGTGTGTGTGTGTGTGTGTGTGTGTGTGTGTGTGGGTGGGTGGGTGGCTGTGGTGTTAATGTAAGTGGTTGGTTCGGTGGTTTGGTGGTTTGCTTCGCTCGCTTTGCAGTCACTTTTGTGGATTTTGCGCATTTGAGTACGCTTGACTGATTTGACAAAGGATCAAGTTGTTAATTTTGCTCGCCGCGCCGACTGCCACTGACAAGTGCCAAGTGACTGGCCAAACAGACAGGGCATTTCGAGACAGCAAACATGAGCCATGTCAGATTAAAATACGACCACATAAGTACATATTTTTATGATTTCTTTTCAGCAAATTCTCTTTTTGTGCGCCGTGCTACAGACTGTTGCAAGTAGTATATGTTCAATCTTTAAACAGATATGTGGCTTAAGTACTTGCTTTAGTCATTTAACCAAAAATAAATAGAGTTTCGCTTGTGTGTAGACAGCTGCAAGTGTCTTACTCTTATATCAATTCAATGAAATGACAGTAGATAGCTTATCGGAAACGCTTACAAATTTGAACCTTCAGGTCAATGATTTCCCATCACATAAACAATATAATACGTCTTCAATCCTTAAAAAATTGCAATGCTTTTTTATAAACTTTTTTCATTTTTCTTAACTTTCTTACTACTTACCTAATTTCTTCCTATAATATACACCTTCCTGCTTAGCGGCACATTCTTATAATGTCATAGTTTAATGTATTAAATACTTTGGCTAACACTCGTTTTGTCGACCAATAATAAATAATAATAAAATAATTAATAAGTATTAGAGATGGTTACCTAAATATCATAGGTAAAGGTCCTTTCATTTCTTTTTCACTTATTCAAAGAGAAAACTCAATGCGGAATACCTAATGGCCAGTCTAAAGTTAATATTCCCTATCACTAGATGGCGCCAGCTCATCATCAAAGTAGCTGCTTTACATTAAATTTGCAGCCTTAAACAAAAATTGTAATGTAAAAGCGAATGGCAAAAAAAAATCATAATTTCCTCTTTGCTAAAAAAAAAATTAAGGAGCAAAGGAAGAAATCGCAGTTGCTTCGCTTCCTTTTGCGTGGTTTTCGCGCTGTCTCCGGCCCGTAAATAAGCCCTGCCCCCAACAGAACCCCAACGTGTCTCCTCGTTTGCTGACATTCCGCTTATTTCGCTTTGCAACGCTTCTCAGAGTTGTAGGCAATTACAAGCTCTACTGAAACATGGGGTACGCCTCGGATGTGGGCAACAGACGCTGCAGACATTGATGAATTTCCTGTCGCATCCTCATCGCCAGTCAGTCTGCCACCAGGTGAGGCAACCGAATCCTACTCAGCGCCATCCACACCTGGCGCAGCGCAAATAAATTTTTATCTGCACAAATGTCGCTCCCTTTGCCGTTTCCCCATTGTGACTTAATAATTTCCTACTCACGTCCTGGCGGTGCATTGAATTGCGCTGCTGAAGATGCTCCGCATCAGTGGGGGGCACTTGGTGGGTTATGCACTTCAAAGTTGATACTTTTTACATGTATATAATTATGTTTGCATCTGCTCATATACGAGATATAGTTTGACAGAAGCCCCCTCGAACTGGGCAGGACGTGTGCATGTATCCAGCTGCATGTCAATGCAAAAATATTGCAATTAGTTTCAGTTGGTTGGAAATTCACGGAAAATGCTCTATCCATGTTAACTTCATAACTTTATAAAAGCTTGACACACAAATAAACTCACACAACTATTTGCATTTGGATCTTCAACTAAACTCAAAACTAAGGGCTTGCATAGTTAAAATACATAAACATACCTGTATATAGCTTGAATATTTAGTCAAATCTTTTCAAATTTTATTAATAAGTTACTATGCGGATTTATCTATAAAATTGTCGATCTATACATTAAAAATCAGCTCATAACCGACGCCTATATTTCCTGTATTTTCATCATGTTGTACTTCATTGTGGTCGAAAGAAACGTTTTAGGATAGAAGACATATAATAATGTCACTCAATGTCAATTGATTTAAATATTGAAAAAATGATTTATATTATTTTAATAGAACTTACTTTAAATTTATGTTATATACTGATAAAAGTAAACCTGATAAAGCTTTCAGTTTTCATCGAAGAATATATTAATCCTATCTCCAGTCCCAGTAGCAACTGCCTGACGAATTTATATAAATGCCGCTCACGTAAGAAACTCGTCTACTTTTATACTGAGTTTCTGGGTTGTATTTCCCCTCTATCCGCAGGACCCCGTTACTTTGACTACGTAGGCGACCCTTCGCCCTAAAATGCACTTAACATTCCTTTTATTATTCTCTTGCGGCAGCATTACGCATGTATGTATATTATGCCCTGTAATCACAGCCAAGCGCATTAGTTGCATAAATTAATAGCTTAACAATTACTAGCATAATTCTATGTGCAGCCTGCTCCCCCTTCTCCTCATTTGTTCCCTTGACTTTACGCGCAACGTGTTGCACTTGATGGGCCGCTCCCCGTTTGCTCTTTTTTTTTGAGTTTCCGCTGCAAATTGCAGACGTAAATCTTGCCAAGTTTTTCCTGACTAGAAACAAGAACAAAAATTATGGGAGCAATGAAAACTTTGTCACAACGAAGCTCAAATACACTTAAAACAAATCTCATTTATAGAAACTATAACAAAATAATTGGGTATACTTTGATATTATCAAGTCTCGTATTTATAGCATATTTGTATTTATTTTAAATAGAAAAGAAATATATATGCTTTATGCATAAAAATGTCATCATATTTCTGGGAATTGTTGGAACTGTCCAAGACGTAGCCCAACGTCGACTTAAGGAATTCGTTTCAAAGTTTTATAAAAAGCGCAAAAATTGTGTGCCACACACAGCCATGCTGACACACACACACATACCTTACACACATTTGTATAAGTAGAATTTTATTTATTTATGACTGCGTCGGCAGCAGAAACAACTTTCACACGGCTTCACGCGCACAAATTTTACTTGCATTTGTCCAATTTCCACTTGGACCCAGTTTTTATGGTTCTTCTTGTGGTTCTTTGACCAGTAGCGTAATTTAAACTATTTAATGCTAACTTCAGTTGGTTTAAACAAGAGAATTTATTGCCCAACTCTCATTAAATGCGGAATTCTCATGGGAAATTGTAATGGGAATTACGCTAAATTAATTATTTATAAGGATGTCCGAACTAGTTTTCTTACGTCTTCCTTATTCCAGCTTATTCCATAGTCCAATCAAGCCTTCCTTAAAGTACTTTAGAATAATTTGTATAACCCATGGAATCCTTTCAACTTCACCCAATAATTTTATGATTTTATCCTTTACATTTGACTTGTAAATTAAACTTAAAATTGATCCAATCATAAAGAAAGCTATAGTCAAAATTTGGAGCTCAATATAATAAAATTAATAAAATAAAATATTTAAAAGCTACTCTAGCGATATATAGCCTATCATCCGCTGCTATAATTTTGCAACAATTCAGTTTCAGCAATTTTACATGTTTGTGTGCTTTCAGAATTATCAATTAAGCAACACTTTGATAACAAATAGATAACACATCAATAGCTTAGTCTAAATTGCAGATAAATACTCATAGTTTCTGTGCATGCTTATATCTAAGAACCCAACTCTACTCCCCTGCCCATAAATTATCAATCAAAGCAAAACTCTTAAAAGTTCAGCAATGGAATTTGAACTCTGAAGGGGTGTGCCGAAACCCTGAGATTTGGCCGGCATGTAGCATGCAAAGTTGGCCCGCAGAAGCCGGCTGAAAACTGTTTTGTGCTCAATGCCAATTCAATAGACCAGGCCCGCAAATACGCCCACTCGCCCACACGCCCACACGTTGACGCCCATATGCAAGGGCAAACTGGGCATTCGCCAAGGCAAATAGCACAATCTGGTTGAGATGGTGCCCACGGTCAGGCCGGGCATGCCGGGCAACTTTGCTTTGGGTGATGCATAAAATGCTTTATTTGTCGAGGGCAAACAAAATGAACTGTAACAATATTGATACAGCTGACAATCGAGGGTTCAAGCACAAAAGGATTGTTGTACAGCCCGGCACAGGATGCCCGACTGCCGTCGCCCTACTCCTGACTGTCACGTCACGTCTAGACGCCAGCCATTGTCCATTGTGGATTTTTGATTTCCGTCGTGGAGCAGCTTCATTAACTCTGCCCACAAAGGTTGTCATTGCCTTTGGTTAACTCACATGATTAAAAGAAGCGACAGGGCCAAAGTTTCAACCAAATCCCAGGCTGTGTCCTGCAGCAAATGATTTGCATGCCAAAACAAAATCCAATTTATTTGCCCTTTTTTTTTTTTTGTCCAACGTCAAAATGCATAAAAAAGCAAACCGCCCCCAATTGTGGGGGCAGTAAAAAATGCCATTTGATTTGTCTATAAATTGAACGATGATCGCTTAAATCCAATAAAAAGGGAAATCAACTCTCCCGCAGCGACAACGGCTGACCGCAAATTGTAAATGCACCAAAGGTGGGTGGCGGGTGGATAATTTGCGGGGTAAGAGAGACGGCTTAACGCTTTTGTTATGCGGCTATCGTCGGACCACGGGCCAATGACATGACAACAACCGATGTTGATTTCACAATGAACCCAACTTTGAGAGTTGGTTTGGAGTTGTCCGCTTTTTCAGGTTAGTTTTACTAACTTTCCGCTTCCTGAAACAACACATAAATCGTATTCTCTTTGTCGACTATTTACAACTTTGACACAATACGAAGGCTACACAAATACCCATGCCGGAGAACAGAATGCTCGACTAAGAGATACCCTGTGCAAAGCTCTAATACAATCCCAACTATGATTTTGTCACGAACCCGTGCGAAATCCCAATAAAAACCAATCCTTGAACCGAAACAATTGACAATAACAATTATTATATTGTATACATCCTTGATGAGCAATAACTTAAGGTTACCCTGCGAAAAATGGACTAATTTGGACTGATTAACTCGATTCTTACATGCGTTCGAAAGTAAGTGGATGTATAAACCTAGTTCACGAATTCAATTTAAAAGCACTTCATTGATTTGAATTAAGAATTCAACTACTGAACATTTTCTTTATTTACAAGGATTCGAAAACTGTTTAACTAAGGAATACATTTTATCTTCCCAGTTTCCTGGAGAACCTAAGCAATCTTCGGCCAGTTAGTCGTGGCTTGACATATTTACAGCCAAATGTTAAATAAACCATGGTAAAATTCTAGGAAGAACATACATAAAAATCTTGATATATCTTGATAAATGAATATTTTTTTTTAAATACAACATTTCCGATAATACAACTAAACTAAAATCGCGAAACTCAACTCAAAAACCAAATTTTAACACTAAAAAAAATATTTCCAAAGTCCTACCCTATAACGCAACCAGTATGACTATAGATTTGCTCACTTTCGATAATATCACGGCCCCAATGGTGCTTTGCTTTACGTTTTGGTGGCTTTTCGGATCCATCGACTGGTGGGTCTAGGCTACGCTTTATTCCCCAACAACGGCGGTGAATAGTTTCCGGCGATTCCTTTTCTAGTTCCACATAATGCTCATCAAAAAGACCCGATCTTGGTATATCAGGTGTCATTTCCTTGGGACAGCTACATTTACTGCTTTCTCTTGCCTGAGCCGGAGCCAGTCGTTTTATATTGCACAAAGGAAATGGATCGTGCAGCTGATAGCCATAATAAACAGATCTTCCGCCTTGCCCAAGGGATGTTTCACTAACATTTATCCACAAATCGTCACCAGTTGTGCGCGATTCCATTTCGTAGTTGCTTGAAGTATATATTTGTTATTTATATTTATATTTGTTAATTTACATGTTTTTTTTAATGATTTCTAAGGCAGTAAAGGAAACGAAAGGTTTGCCGTGATGATTGACTACAAATAAAACTTTTCTATTCCTTTTTAATTTGAGAAAAAATTGTAAAATGCCAATCATCGGTAGAAGAATTATCCAAGTTAACTAAACTGAGCAAAGAGGGTACAAATTTGAATCCGGGATCGAATACAAGTTTTAGAGAGTCGTGTCTTGTACTTTCCCTTCGGTAAGTCCTAAGTTGTATGGGCTAATAATCAATATTGTATTTGGATATAATGATCTCTAATACTTATTAAACACTACCTCTAGCTCTGAATATGAAAAAATACGCCCTACTATGCGAATCTCATTAATTCTCATAGTATTATGTATATATAATATGGTTAGCAAAATAAATGATGAAAACATCGTTAGCGGAAAGTGAAATTTGTAAAAATATTATAATAATATTTACAAATACCAAACACAAATTTTGCGTTTTTTTTTTAGGTTTGATTTCTTAGTTTGATATTTGATACAATTGATTGAAAGCTTAAAACGGAATAAATAAGTCAGCCCTTATAGAAGGCCAACAGAGTTTGATGTTGAGGTATAACATAATTTAATAGTATTTAAATACTTATCAATATGCATATGCTTTGCTTTATTCAGATTTCAATTGTCTGATACAATTTTGTGGTTCATCTCTATACATACATAACGTGAAAGGAATTAAATAACTATTCACTTAGTACCTAATTTAATGTAAATGGCAAAACAAAATGAATACATTATAATAATTTGTATATGAGTGTGTGTATGTGTATTTGAACTAGCGTGTGAATGTGTGGGTGTTTGTGTGAGAGACTGGGTGATTTTAGGAGATAATTGTTTTTTTCGCATATATTCAATAATTGTATTCCAATTTGTTCATTAGTGCTAATTTTTTTTTGGTGTAAGTCGTATATCAGCATCTGATAAAAGTCCGTTAATTTTCTATATATTTGTTTCTAAAGATTAGCCAAGGGTTAATACGGGATATTATTACTCTCGTTTTTCAAGTATACATGAAGTTTTTGACTAATTTTATGATTATATGCAACTGCTTTTTGCTTTATTCGAAATTTACCTGTGTCAATCCGAAAGTTTAATATGTATACATCGTATATTTGGGGCTTATGTATATGAAGTATGTGAGTGTTATAGTTTGGAAGTATATATATAAAATAAGCGCTCTGCAAAACTTAGCTGGAAGAAAGGAGAGCCATAGACCCTTCAGTTGGCAATCTAAAATTTTAGATTGAGTACTACAAATGTTAATACTTCTATGGTTCCTAGCAGTTTCGTCTTTCATAAGCAGCAATTATTATTAAAGTGAAAAAAATAAAATATTTGTTGTTGACCAAGTTTAATAATGTTTACAGTTTGCTATATGTATGGTATAAGTATATCTTATGTGTAGATGTCTGTGAGTTTTTGTGTGGGTGTGTAAATAAACATAATGAGAAATATTGCATAGAAGTGTATATATATATATATATATATATATATATATATATATCTGATTGTGTTATATGTATCCGCTGTCGGTTCTTTCGAGTTAATATAGTTTACAATTTAAGTTTGGGTTTTTCATTTAGTTTTGTATTTTAGGTTTCTTATGTGTCTACAAATAAAATTAAACAGATTGTTCTTTTGTTTGTTTGTTGATTTCACTTAAAAGTAAATTACTAAAATTAAGCAAACATTGTAATAGTTTAAGTTTAAAGAAACGCAATCAGTACATACATAATTACAAAATTATATGTAAAATTATGTACAATATTTTCAAGGGATTTTTTTGTCGTATATATTTTTATTAAATACAAACTGTTTTGGGTTTCCGTGCCTAATGTGCGTGTGTGTAATAAATATTTTGCGTATGCATTTTAAAGGTAATGTGTTATTTTTTTGTTTTATACGTTTTTCTTGCTGGAAAAACTGATATTTTGAATATGAGTTTTTGGAATTTCAAGTTATTTTTTGCTCGACATTTGTTTTGGTTTCCTTCGCGCATGTTTAACATAGTTCGCATTAGAATTTTAGGTTGAAAATTAAATATTTTAAAGTAATTTGTTAACGTTATTCAACTTCATCAATGCCCGAACACATTACAAATATATTCTGCATATCTGTTTTCTATTATGTGATTATCTTTATTTTTTTGTTTACTTTTACTTTTTAAGGAGGTACTAATTTGTTAACACTTCTGCGCTGGCCTTGTTCCTTTTCTTGCGCTTTATTTTGTTCCATTTCCATATCCATGTTTCTTTTATGCTTCTGGCAATTTACAAAGCCATGTTGTTTCTTCGTCCATTGACCTTATTCACTAGATTGCATATTTTTAAGGCTGGCCCCAGCTTAAGGCCCATATATTTCATCATCATCTCCGAGTTAAGTAAAAGCAAGGCTTTGCCATCAATTTCCTGCAAGATTAAAGTCAAATGTATACAATTCATGACTATTCAGGTATATAAGATCTATCTCATATTGGTTACTCACGTGCTTTCTGAAGAGATCGCCATGCACGGCCAGCGAGTTGTCATTGCTCTCGATATACTGGATGACCTCTTCGATGGACCAGTCGATAGGCTGCGCTCGTAGATGCGAACAGGCCGTCGATGTGGGTGTGCTAAGCGGTGAGGTGATGGCTGTACCCGCATAACTGCTGGATGCAGATGCAGCCACTGGCGCTGTTGCCGCTTTGGCAGCGCTGGCAGCCGGCGCCGCCGGACAGGCCGACTGTGAGGCGGTGAAAGGCGTGGATACCGAAGACGGAAAGGAGGCGCTTGATGATAATGTAGTTGGCGATTTATAGTAGCTGCTGGGCGGCTTGGCGCTCAGCTGCTCTGGATGCACCTCGGCGACGAGTGGTGCCAAATATTTGGCATTTGCTGTGCCGCCGGCTAGGCTATTGCTACTGTTTCCGCTGCTGCTGCTACTGCTGGAGGAGTTAGAAGAGGAGGAGCTGTTACTGTTGCTGCCAGTTGAGCCCAAGTTGTTGCTCGTCTCCAGCTGGCAGTTGCCATTGTTATTGTTGTGATGCTGGAAGCGCACCTTGCGCAACGCCTGTGCTTGATTCTGCGCTGAGGCTGTCGCTGGGACGCTGTTTGGTTCCACTTTGATGGCCAGCTTGGCACTGCTAACATTATTGTTGCTGTTATTGTTATTGTTGTTGTTGTTAGTGTTGTTGTTGTTGTTGTGGCTTAATGTCTCCTTAGTGGCTTTGCTTGCGGGCTGCTGCGTCTGCGCCTTGACGCCCGCCTCCTGCTTGATAATTAGCGGCTTCTCGGCGGGCGATGTGGGCGTGGGCGTGGCGGATTTCGATTGACGGCTGCGTTTCTCGGCCAGCACAGGCGACGCTGGCGGCGTTGCGGTCTGCAACAACTGACGCTTTCGGCTGTGTGCGCACTTCTTGCACTCCTCGGTCTCCGGCATCAATGAGATAAGATTTGCACATGCTCGGCATGTGATGCATAGCGTCTCAATAAACTGGGCCAGGCTTTCATCATCCTTCATGCGCAGCGGCGAGGGTATTTTGACCTGAAAAACAGCAGGGGATTAGCTATAACTGGAAGTTTGATAAATTAACATGAAATTACCGTAAAATTCTTGCCAGCAGCGGTCACAATATGCACATCTCCGTCGAGCGCGAAGAGCAGCTTGGACAACTGCTGTGTATCTGTGCTGGCGGCCAGCACCTCCTGAAGGCAAAGCTTGGCGAGCGTCTGATGCGTCGGCCCCGTCACCATAGACGGCAGCTTGGAGCCATTAATAAAGGGTCCGCCCTTGCAGTTGGTGTGAAAGTGCGCCGTTACCGGGGAGGCGGCCACCATGGCATCCGATTCAGCGACAACGGTATATCTGGGACGCGGGCAACGCTGCTTGCCAGAGCTGGAGTCCATGCGCGACTTATGACCCGGCGGCTGCATAGGATGGCAGCTGCGCGCGCACCATCCAGCTGGGAAAATGTCACGAGAACGATAATTGCACCAATAGTCGAAGGCGCCGCGCCAGCCATCGAAAGTGACATGAATTTGATCATCCTTGATGGCATCAACTGTTGCGCAGCAAATCAGTTGGGGATTCTTTTTGTCCACCGCCTCCAGTTTCTGGCCAACCTTAAAGAGATTCTCAGTGGGCGTCGGAGGCTCCGGTTGGAATATCTCCTCGGGCGCAACCATTGCATTGTTGAGTATCTTGCAGAGATAGCCGGGCCAGCTGGAAGCATTCATGCGGAAACCAAGAGGCGGCTGCAGCATGCCGCCATTCTTCTCGCAATGCCCGATCGCATGGATCTCCGTCGAGTCGACCAGGCGCCAGAAATCGTTCTGTGAGTCGCTGCCGTCAAGCCGCAGGCGCAATCGTGAGCCCAACACACCCACTACAGTCGCAATACAGGTGGAAGTTACGTTGCGTGGATCCAGTGCCTCCAGTTTCATCCCAATCTTAAAATCGTTGTTGGGCGGATTCAGCGCCTGCTTGAAGCACTCGGCGGGCGCCGCATCACTGCCAGTTTCCTAACACACACCATAGACAAGCAAAGATTAGGCGATCGCTTCAAGAGCTGCTAGCAACAACACTACTCACCTCTAGATAGGCATCCCAGTCGAATACATGAAAGCTCTCGTACTGAAAGGGACCCGTGGGCGCCGGCGCACCGCTGCTCAGCAATTTGCGCTCCCCATCGGCGGCGCCACCAGCGCCCGCAGCACCACCGCTGCTGTGCCGCGTCGACCCGTTCTTCTTCTGATGCTTGTTCATACACATCATGGAGCAGAATTCCTTATTGGGCGCACCCTCGCGTATCACGTTGTCACACTGCGTGCACGCCCCCTTGCTGTACGCTTTACGGAACTCGGCGATGCATGTCTCCGAGCAGAACTCCTTTTTGCCCGTCTGTGTGGGCAGGACGTACTGCAGCGGCAGTTTCCCTTCGCCGCACCAGGTGCATGTCGCCCGCTTAGCCGGGCGACCGCGGGCGCGCTGCTGCGTCGGCGTTTGCGGTGTGATGGAGTTGGCAGCGCTGTTGCCGTTGCTGCTGCTGGCGCTTGCGCTGCTGTCGCGTCCGCCAGACATTTTTGCGTTGTTTTCGTTTTATTTACCACGTACTTTTTATTTTTATATTTTTACCTTCACTCCACCTTTATTAATCAGTTAATCTGCATCGTAGTGACGCATTTAGCTCACGCAGTGTTGCATTTGCATTAGATATATTCGCTTTAAGGTAAAATAACACTTTTTGCCACGGCTCTGTGAATTTTAATTTTAGCGGCGTTCTCGAGGTCACGTAATAACAAATTTGTATTTGTGTTGACTGTGCAATTCGCATTGCAGCAACAAACAAACTCACATACGAACATGAGAGAGCGCACAGTTAGAGCTATTAATTTCCATATACTCAGCAATTGTACATTGTACGCGGTTAAATGATGCTTGCGATTGCGAATTAGTTAGTTTTTTTTATTTTTCTTTGCATTTGCGTTCCGCCATATTTGTTTTCCTAGCGATGAGAAAGTGCTAGAGATGTGCAGCATTTATGTAACTGTTACTTATCGCTGGAAACGCAAAGCGGCGGGTCACTGTTTGAACTACAAAATTACTTACTACAGCTTTGCAAAATGCGATTATGTATAAATATGAAAGATCTACCTAAATTATTTTATTTAATCTTCTAAGGATATTATTTTTATCATTCATAAGTTATATATTTACATGTGAGTGCAATCAATAGGCAGTTGCTACTGTGACAAAGAATGCAAGGTACTCTCATCTCTATAGTGGTTGCTAAGTGCAGACAAATATATCGATAATATGCTACATCGTTATGTTAATTTTAACGCGATATGTTAAAAATTTGCCTTTGCTTGTGCCTATTATTCATTTACAATATTAAAACATAGAAACATTAATAGTTAGTTATAAATAAGTTTACACAAAACGTTAAGTATCACTTTGTTGTTAGCGACATCTAGCTGGCGCCCTCTACATTTGGTTTGTGGATGCCTTCTCAACAGTTGCTCAACAGTTAGCAGTAAGCTGAACGAAGAGAATTCGCGCGAATTTAACTAAAAACTGTTTGAATCTAGAAAACTTATTTAGCTTTATTTCAAATTAAAGGGTTCGTATGACCTAGTTTTGTTGCTATCATAATGACATTAAGTGCGCAGCTATAAATTGCCCAGCTCTACACGAAATTAACCAAGTAATGCAATTAGGCGCAGCAAAATGGGCCCATACCCTGCTGTGCCATCCAATCCGTACCCTTTCCACGCACCCAAATCCATTCACATTGATTTCTCTGGCTTATTTCTGCATATATCACAACGTGCTCATAAATCAAATTTGGACCGGCCGCAGGGGCGAAACAGTTGACAAATGCTTTAGCACAGTGGGCGTGAATTGCGAGTAGGTGCGTGTGTACTTGTGTGTGCACTTTTAATCGCCTCCAACAACAAATCAACGCCAAAATCGGCGCAAAAAACGAAAATCACACACACATACACTGACAACTGCATCTCTGTGAAATATATTCGCCAGCTTTTCGCCTGCATTTGTTCATGTGTTCATCCATCTGGCAGCCCTGGCATGCAGCTATATTTTACCCCACGCACACGAGCAGCTGCTCCGTAAAAATCAGCAAATGCAAATAAATTTGGGTGAATTTTTGGCTACACACAAAAAGCTAACAAAAATTTGCGCATAGTTGAGCGATTCACATTCCACGACCACCTGTTCATCTAAATAACAAAATCAAAATCAAGCCCAGAAGCTGCACCATTAATATTTCAGTCACAGTTAATGCCAAAAGTTAAGCGCCAAGCACTTCGATAGCTGCCTAAACCAGAAACTTCTTCCCTGTAATTATTGCTGTCCAAGCAGAAAAGTTTTTTCTTTTTTGCCTTTTGTTCTTGTGGCTTTCTTAGTTAACATTTCGCTTAGCTCTTGGCCAAGTTTAAGGGGATTTCTCTGCCTGCTTTTGCTTAACTTGGCTGTAACTCGGTTTCATTTATGGCGCTTCTTCTACAGGCAAGAGCGAAAGCAAAAGCTGCTCAAAAATTACGATGCAAATGAAATTAACTATACAAAAAGTTTGAGCCAGAAACAATTTGTTATTACAAAGAAGCCCCTAAAGTCAATTTAAGATTTGCAAGCGATTTGGGTTCGCGGCACAGTAGTTAATCAGCCAAGCAGTTAATCTCTGCTGAAATATTGAAATTTAGTAGATAGCTTGAGAGAATTTGAATTCTTAGAGTGCACAGTGCGGTGTCTTGTTAATCAATTAAACCCTATTCATATATGAAATGCCATGTAGGCAGTTTGGGAGCACGTCATAAATTTAATAATTGCTTATGTTTATCGACAGCAGCTGTCAAGATGACCCTCAGGTTCCTTGACACTGCGACCAGAGACTGCCGGCTGCGAAGGAGGGTGTTGGGTGGGTGTGAGGGGCCACATTAACACGCATAATTGAGCCAAGTGACGTTTACCGTTTAAACGCTTGTCAAATCGACGCTGCGCAATTAGAAATTGTCGCCTCATTGCGAGAAGGCTCCCCATTGACTTATTACGCAAATCAAACAAAAGATTGAGACTCGAAGGGTGGTCGGGCGCGGGGATTTGAACTTTGTCGTGATTTTAATCAACATGTTAATGAGTTTATCTCAGCCAGCTCGAGTGTTTCATCAGTGTTAATGATTCTGTTATTGCTTGACGGCTATTGACTGACGATCAAATTGTTGGCCCAGGCTAATGAAAATGTTTAACTTTGACACCACTTGAGCTGGCAAACTTTTGTTCGTCTGAGCTGTTTAAGTGTGGGCAGGGGAAAGGGATTACAACTTGCAGAAGCTTAGTTAAATGTGCAAAAGTTATTCCTAGCTTATATTTAATGGTCATTTTGGCTGGATTCTATGGTTGTTTAAGATAAGTTTGTTTGTCAAAGCGTATTTAACCAGTATTTTATGCATTTAAAAAGCTTTGAAAGCACAAAAAAACTTCTGGAGATCTTTTTTACTCAATACAAAGTTTGAAACGTTTTGAAACCATATTAAAGCGTAAAAAAGCTTTAGTGCTATTCATTAGTTGCGTTTATTTTTTAAGTATTTGCTAAGATACTCTACAATCTTCTTAATGTCATCTCAAATCTTTTTAACAACTTACCAACACCGCCATTCGCTAATTTCCAGCATCCAAACATCTTAATATACTCACAATATGAGCTCCTCAGCTATTATTAGTATATCTAATGATTGATCATCAGTTTCTATTCCAATTTAGTCGCATAAGTATTTTCTTAACCATTTGAACTCAATTATAGATAACTAGTTTTTCACTGCTTTTACGACATCAGATTATCATAATAAATAACCATTTCCAACACACACACACCCTCCCAGAGTCGTCATATGTGAAGTGGTAGTCAGTGCTGTAAAGCGTCAGCAACTTTTTGACAGATTTCAATCAGCCGCAAGGCAAATGGTTAACACAAAGGACAACAGCAGCAGTTGGCGTTGGCAACGGGTAACAGGACTCGGCCCACGTGTTTAATTACACTCGGACACCCATTGACAGCGATTAAAACGGATGACAAAGCTGTTGAGGAACAGGCGGGGGGGGGGGGGGGGGGGGGGCAATGTGTTTCGCATTCTGATGAATGGTGGCAACACTGTTGCGGCGACATTTTGACAATTCATTTGAGCAAAAGGTTAAATCGGAACGAGGGCCAGGCACAAGCCAATATCCATAAAACGCATGAGTTGAAAGATGTGCACAATGCTATCGTCAAGTGCATCGAGGAGAATTCCTAAAAGAATTATAAATGGGATTCCCTCAGGATCAACTTATTTGCTCTATTTGTAACCAAGCATATGGTGCAGCATATGGTGTTTATATAAATATGTTTGCATATTCTTTCTGTTTATTATTACTTTTCTTTTAAAATTTAATTAAACCATTAAAAAGAAAAAAACTAATTTTTTCCTTTAAATTTATTTTGGTTTTTAGATTCAAACATGAGTGTTGAAATTTAACACAAGACAAGTCACGATTAAGTTTCTTCTGTTATGTAATATATTTTTTTATGACCAAAAACATCAAAATTTTAATTAATGTTTAATATGCTAAAATGCGGGTTTTTAACATAAGAATACCCATCTACAATTATTTGCATAATAATTTTTAACCACCTTAAAAATGTTGTTCGACATGAAAAGAACATCTCTTAAGTACTCACACTTTCATACTCTCACTTAAACACCTGGATTGTTTCGTTTTTTTTTTTTTTTTCAGAAATAAAAATGACTGGCGTGCAATTTCACACCTGAATGATGATCCGCGACTGAACTGTCAAAAGCCGTTAGCCACATGGCCATAAGGTTGGCTCCATGTCGAACCCTTTCACATGGCTTAAAAAAGAAAACAAACAATTGATGTGCAAATAAAAACTCATTAAATATTAATTGAGTTCGATAATTAAAAGACAAAGTGGACTTGGAAAACAAACAAAAATCGGTGGTCAAAAGTTGCTGCAACATGTTGTTTACTCACAGTTGGCAACAGTTGCCGTTAGCTCCTGTGGCAACATGCGAACGTTTGAATTTTGTACCTGTAACTGCCATTGTCCACAGTTTTTGTTTGGGGCAACATGTGAAGCCACCCACGGAGGTGCGTGCCGCATGGTTTCATTCATAACTAGACGCGTGGCGAAATGTTGAGGCTTTGTCCTCGTCCTGGTGCTCGTCCTGTCGTCGTTGCTGCTCGGCTTCGTGTTGTGGCACTTCGTGTAGCGCTCAGCGTCCTTGCCTTGCAATATAAAAACAAGCGTCCTACGCTTCGAGCTCTGAGTTCTTCGCTCGTCGTCAGCCTGTTGCGTTCTCGGACACAGCCCAAAAAAAAAAAAAACAGAAAAAGCCCAGCTCCGTCAGAACAGGACCAGGTCCTTAAGACCTTCTTTATAGCCCCCAGTTAAAACTTGAATTTCAATATAATTTTGTGCAAACAAGAAATACTCAAAATATTCAAATTTCAAAATTTCTCTTGTCTCATTTGGTTTAAGTGCCGTCGCGCGTGAGCACATAAAATAAAATTTGTGAGCCAATTTAATAGGCCACCAAGTCGCAAATCTTGAAAACCATAAATATTTACCCAGTGTTAAGATCAAACGAAATATTTTCCCGGCCAATTACCAAATTGATAAGGTGCTACCGTTTTTATGTGAGAAAATTGTTACCAAACAGGCAGAAAAATAAAATAATCGAAACTTATTCGCACTTTAGTGTCATTTAACGCGTTATCAAGCGAACGATTTGCATTTTGGTGGATTTGTCCATATCAACATAACTGGTGGGTAAAAGTCATTATATCTTTTGAAAAGATTGTCGATAAATATGAGAAGAATATGTATTACTATTTTAATTTGCCAAATATATTAAGCTAATTAAGTTAAAATGAATTAAAAAAACTTAAAAAAGTAAAATATCGATTAAATTGTGGAATAGAATAAATCAGAGTTCGCATCTATTTTTATTTAAAAATGAATTGGAATTGTATTAAAAAAAAAGTAAAATATGGTGAAAAGTGAAAAAGAGTTAATCAGAGTTAAAAATTTTATTAATATTAAAAATGAGCTTAAAAATTCTTTTGAAAATAGCAAAAAGCTTACATTCTTCTTGTAATGTTGCGATTAAAAGCTACAGATGAGAACTTTTGAAACAAAATGGATCGATATAAGAACTCTTGCAAGGGACTTCAAGAAGATTAAAGTCAAACTCTTAATCTTTGCTGAGAAGATCTTTTTTTAGAATAAGTAGAGCATGATTTTTTCTTAATAACTCTCAGATCAAAGAAAGCATCATATAGTTATATTTTTTTTTTTAAGACAGACTTACGTTAAATCAAGCAAAAAATAAACCGTTCTTAAAAACATGACAAAGAACTTAACCCTTTTTTGCGTTAATCTAGAATGCACTTTAAGTATCAAATATTGTGAATATATCAAATAAATCGTTTAGGAATTGAGAAAGTTTAATCGCCTTTTTTTAAAAGAAGTTACATTTGATAATTAATCATTTATAATTAAAAAAAATATTAAAGATTTTGAACTTTTGCGTGCATTTTGTACCCATTTAATTTAATGCCAATTTACATTTGTTTGAGGCACAAAGCTTAACCCGAAAGAAAGCATCAGTTAAATGAAATGATTTGCAATTAATTATGCCTGAGGCTTAATTTATAGATGCCCATTGGTAAAGGAACATTGGCCAATTTCATTATTTGTAGGCGATTAATTTGCTGGTGGTAGAAAATGTATAAAATCGCAGCTCATGCAAGCAAAGGCGACTTATAAAATGCCAAGCACCAGAAATGGAATTCAACTTCGCAGGCAAAATATGGCCTTTAATTTGAATTTTTATATAAAAGGATGGAATTAATGGCTTGTTTAGTTGACAGATTCCCAATGGAAGACACTAGCTAGCTAATTAGTTGTTCCCTTTATGTAATTTTCACATTGTTCGGCAACTTCTGCTGCGGCTCCTTGTGCTCGTCCTGTGTCCTGAGCCTGTAATTTAATAGATTGTAAACAAGATTTGAAGAGAATTTTCCACTTTTGATTGGCTACGAAAACTTGCCGTCCTGCTACTTCTATCAAGGAGAGCACGGCGATAGGTCACGTTTGCTGGCGCTCATAAAAGATTGTTTAAGATCGTAATTGAAAGACTTGCGGCAACATTTCCAATTCGATATTGTATTTAATTTAAAAATCTTTGCTGCTGTGCATTTTAAGTGTAAGGCTTATTTTGTAGATACGAATATGGTATACTCTGGTATATTTTAGAGAGGGAAATATTTGATAATAATTACAAAATCATTTTTTTACCCCGTCAACTTTTTGCAAAGTGTATAAATCGATAGATTAATACATATACCTTTAGTGTAGTGAATTATTTGTTGTTGTTAAAGGATATTTAAATTATATTTTATATCCTGACGGTTTCTGGTAAGGCGGCAGGAAGTTAAATATGTGATGTGCTAGAGATTAAAAAAACATTCATTTATTCATTTAATATATCTTTTGTATACCTTTATGATAATAGTTACCTAATAGTCGCAAGTACCCGTTCAATTGTGGACTTTTGGTTAATAAACGAATAGGAAATAGCCTCAAATAAGTCTTCTGCCTGCCAATGGATATGTGACTAGTCCATCATACCCGCTAGGCTGGGCTGAAAGACGATTAAATCACAGCATTGCAATTGAATCACAACATTGAGTAGCAGTGAAAACATTCATTCGCCCATTTATTCACTCCATGGATCAGCGGGCAAATCAAATTGTTCGCTTGTAAAAATCTTTTTATCGACCGAAACTTTTGCCCAACTTCGCAGCTATTTGCATACATGTTAAATGCAAATAGACGACAAGACTTTTGCTGTCTTATTTTTTTATATTTTTTATATATTATTTTATATTTTAATGCATACTTTTTGATTGTATTTACAGCACAGATAAAAGCGAGCGAATTCGTAGGCACAATCGCTGCAGGCAATCACGATTTCTCAGTGGGGCAGTCCCTTTATTTATCGAAACCGTAAACAGGGGGAGCAGGTGGGGCACACAGTGGGGCAGGGCAGTTTTTATTAGGGCATATCATGCCAAGCATTGTTTAACGCTCAAACAAAATATATTTATTTGCTAAACTTCAAATGCAGCTATTTTCGTATGCTGGCATTTAAACAATGTAATTTCATTTTAGGCGGCCGACGAATGGTATTTTCTCAACATTTTTTGGCTCCAATAGAGCACAGGAGCGCACAGAATTGACACATCTATGAATATTGCTCTCATGCAGCTGCTGTCAACATTTCAATATTCGAATATTCCCTAACATTCGCAAATCCTGGCACATGAAATGGCCCCAAATATGACAGTTGCCCGAATCCCAAATGTCATTGCTGCCACTTATTACAGTTACTTACATATGTCTCGTGGGCGTGTCGTAAGCTTCCCAAATAGTTAAACATCCAGAGATTTGCGCCAAAGGCTTACGCTGACAGCTCAGCTTTACTAGAGCTCAGTGTTTGATGGCCAGGGGTGCAAAGGTAAAATAAATAAGTTAGAGGAACAAGTAAGAGCTTCTAGTCGGGAGCTCTTGACTAGGGGATACCCTGAATCCTCTTCTTCCAACATCAAATGCATATATATATTCTATTTTAGAAGCTATATGTAAATTGCCCAAAAAACAGGATATCGATAATAATTTTTATCGATTGCTTGGAAACGGAGGAAGTTATCGATTATCGGAAACAAACTCGATCTGCGCAGGCACTAGGAGCACCTACATCTAAAATTTCAGCTCTTATAGGATCTAAGATCATTGCGTTCATACATACGGACAGACGGACAGGCGGACAGACGGACGGACGGACAGACAGACAGACAGACAGACAGACGGACATGGCTAGATCGACTGGGCTATTGGTGCTGATCAAGAATATATATACTTTATGGGGTCGGAGATGCTTCCTTCTGCCTGTTACATACATTTGGATTTTGAACAAATACAATATACCCTTATACCCACTTTTAATGGGTTTAGGGTATAAAGATAGTAGAAGCAAATGGAATAAATTGTGCCCTACCTTTCGATAACTATTTATTTAATGCGTGCAATAAGATATTAGAAATTATTATTATTATGTATTATTATTATTATTATTATTATTATTATTATTATTATTATTATTATTATTATTATTATTATTATTATTATTATTATTATAATTTATTATTATTTTTATTAATATTATGTATTATTATTATTATTATTATTTTATACGCATGTTTTTCGTTTCTTACAATAATTTCAAACTACCTGAACTACGTATTTCATTTCACTAAGGGACTTCCTATTGTCTATTAAAAAATGCCATAACTTTTACCATTTATCCATTAAATAATATTATATTTAAGCAAAATTATATTATAAACCGCAAGCCAGTTGCTTTCTGAACACAATTAAGGCCAAGAGATCTGACTAAATTTATAATATCAAAAGGTTTCTGTTTGCGCCCAAAAGTATGCAACAGAAACTAAACACAAAGCCCGTTGCGTATACGTCACGAAGTAAACGCTGCAATCTCATGTTATAATTGAAAAGAAAAAAAAAGAACTTATCTCGATTTGATGACAATTCAAAGAGCAGCTAACAGACAGATGACGCACGATAACTTGAGACTGACATTTGGCCGAATTTCAATTAACAGTTGGACCTTAAACTCGAGATATGTTTATATGTATAGAAAGTGAGTGCAGTTTGTACAATATTAAAGCTTTTTGCTGACCATAACAAAGCGCATTAATAAATATGTGTATGCGGGTCACAGGAAAGTACATATTTTTGTGCGTCAATGGGAGCCCTCATAAACATTGCTGAAAGCTATTCGAAATAGTCAAAGGATGTGACGATGAATAAATGAGAGGAAGTTACAGTGGGCACCAAGTGAAGGCAAAATCAATTTTCATGCGCCCAACCCATTTAGGGTTTGCAAAAATAGGCACTCGGCAAAGCCACAGCGCTTCCAAAACTGTATTTACACAGTTTTTGCATCTATTTATAGATAGCGATAGCGACTAGAGATGTATGCCCTTTCCTGCTCTAAGGTCAAGCGGAAATTGTAAGCCAATTTCAAGTCATTGGACTTTTGAGATTTTGTATACAATTCGTCCCTTTATACTCTGCCCGTGGGCTATTATAAATTTGTAATGCAATGTGTAACACATAAGAGCTGGCAACTACAACAAGTCCAGTTGATTTGGCCAGTTAGTTCTGTCAATTTGTCTCTTTGTTAACTTGTCTTCCCCTTTTAAATCTTTCTTTATGAAAAATAAAAAAATCTTATTAATGCCACATATTGAACCTCTCTTATGAACAATCGACTGGAACTAGTCTGTTTTTAAGATAAACTCTTTTAAATATGAAAATTAATTGCACATTTGCTAAAAGTCCGCAAGGGTATTTTGTCTATAGTCTAAAGCCGAAAGCTAATTGTTAAGTTTTGTTTGCATAATCAAGCTGGCGCACAAATTGTCCTGTGGCCACAAATGGAATCCCTTTGGTTAGCTGCATTCTTATGATGCCTCATTCTGTCAGTTTCTATACACTTCACTGCTCCACAGCGTGTCCATCTTCATCTCAACCCAACCGCAACCCAACCGCAGCTCGTCAGATCCTTCCATCTGTTTATGTTATTTCCACACATTACGTTTATGTTTCGCTGTCGCTGGGCAGAGTCATTTGGCGAGTCCATCCAGCTAAAGTGTTCAGTTCAGTTGAATGTGGGGTTAGAAGAGGTCATGCATGTGCATGAGCCATAAATTATAAGTACACTTCACGATGTCAAAAGGTTGCGTATTTCCACGCAGCGTTTCTCACATATTCACGACACGCTTGCAACGTGCAATATCAATGTCAAACTCCAGATACGTTGCGTACTTATATATTTTATATACATATATTCTAACAATAAATATTCCCTGATGTTGATAGATTGCCCCTGAATTATGCTCTTAACTGTTGTTGTGCGAGAGAGCGCACGAAATAATAAATGTTATAAAAGCTCAACATGTGTAGGTGTCAGAACTGGTAAATCGAAATGTAACAAGTTTTAAACAGATCTTTTAGTATAAATATATAGCTGCTTAGCCGACTATTTAAAGTAATTAAAAATGAAATAGCATTTTGTCTCTTCTACAGATTTCACATTAACGGTCAGTAGAAGTAATAAGTTTACAAGCTGCTTGTAAATTATAAAGAAGCTCGTGAGGAAAAGAGCTAAGCGAGCATATTATTAAACAAAGCGCAGTATATGTATATAGCATTTATTACTTGTTAGGCCGTTAAAATCAAGTTTTTTTTTATCAACCAACCATATTTTGTTGAAGTTTCGAAATTAAATTCAGTATAAAAACACACGGATAAATAGTTAGACTATGAAATGTTGAAGCATATGGGCATATTCTATAAAGAAAGAAAAAATTGAAATTCAGGAATTCTCATTTTACAAATATGTACACTTTTTTTTTAATTTAATTTATTTTTTTTTTAGAAAAAGTTTCTATCGAATATATCAAATTGATTAGCTTACTCGTCAAACCTTTTTGATAAAAAATTGTATTACATTTCAGGTATTTTCAGGTAATGCATATTTTATAGATTACAGAGATATGCATTTTGACGCTAGATTTTTGCACAACATAAAAAATGATGCTTCCAGATGATGGGTCAGGGTCGGTTCAGTATGCAATTATTCAAGCAAAACGATAAAATTCGATTTTCATGTAATTTTATGCAATTTGTGGCTCGGCATGCTGTTAATCGCCCGATTCATGCATCCGTTGATTTTGCATGCAAATATTATTGTTTTTATTTATTTATTTACATTTTTTTGTTCAATTGCAGAATGATGAAAGCCACAGCGTGGTTTTGCCCGGTGCTATTGACTTTACTCAGCGCCACGAGGCTCGTTTGTACCGCACAGCGGGGTGCGGCGACAACAGCAGCGGGTGGTGGTGGTGCTGGTGATGCTGGTGGTGCAGGCGGTGGCTCAACACCAGCAGCAGCAGCAGCTGGCGGCGCGGGCTATGCCAGCGGATATCCGCTGGACTATCTGGATGCACAGGCCGTACAGGTGAGTAAGTCGTGCCCTAACAACTTTTAATTCTCGTTCACCTGCCTTTTGTGGCTTTCACCAGTTGTCGCTCATTTTTGTGAGAGTTTTTTGTTTTCGGTCTCATATTTCATTGGACTTTTTAAAGGTGAAAAAAAAATTGATGAATGCTTTGATGTTGCCATCAGAGCATTTATCTGTATGCATTTCATTTACAAGAGTTGACTGGAAAACCCGAAAAACAAATGCTTTTTTTAATCTCACTTAAAATAAAATATAACGTATTTAACCTTATACATAATATACCTGTATATAGTTAAGCCATAGCAATAGAGTTATTACAATTTGTGATAAAGTTTATAAAAGTTTTTGGAATTTTGAATAACAGTAGGCCAAAGCTCCCCTTCTTAGACACACTACTCAAATATGTAGGAATCTTAAGCCAAATTTTATACGTGGGCTCTTCTACTTCATTTAAAATTTGGAAAAAATCGGACTCAAAAAAGAGTCAAAATCAAAAACTATTTTAAAAAACATTTTGCAAGACATTTAATTGTGCGCTTTACAACCTTTTAAGTCCAAGGCTTCGAAACTTGTTATTACAGCTAAGGCCAAGCAATACATATTATAAATCTTTATTTAATATCTACTATATAAGGCAGTTAGCTTACAGTAGCCCCATTTAACTAAGTATCTTATCGCAACTTAATTTACCTAGCTCTCACAGAATGCATCAGAGTTTCCTGGTAAGTTTTTTTTTATCAGATAACAATTATTGAAGTAGGATTTCCGATGAAATAGCTCTTGATTTCTGCCAGAGACGCAATAAATTTGAAATAATGGAAGAACTCTCAATGTTATTGGCAAGTGAAACGCATTTTTTCCAAATACTCCCAACTTATCTTATCGACAGACCGTGAAGCGTGACCACCGACCAAACATGAAGATTGAAAAGCCTGTAAAACAAACAAATTAGTCAATGTATAAAAATGGATTCCCAATTTATTTTTTGTTCCTTGTTGAATTTGTTCAATGGAAAATTTTTAATAACGATTTATGCACGCTTCATTAGACAGGCGAAAAAAAAACTTGTAAACAAGAAGTAAACAAAACATATTATTACCTTGTTTATTACATTTGACAAGAAGATAAATAAAACTTGTAGCTTTGTTGTTTTACAGCGCGAATAAATCGCCAAACAAAGTTGACAAGAAAAGTTCAAGTTTTCATGCTGTTTAATTTGGCCAACGTGTGCGTTCCTCTGTGAACAATAGAGCTGAATACCTGGAGGTATGCGCCCAACACCTGTCAAACCGACAGCTTAGCTGATGAGCATTTCAAAGGACCAACTTCTGGGCCACTCAACACCTGGGAATGTGGTCTTCATATTCATGCATTCACTTTTCGTTAGGGCTATCATATTTTATCAGCCATTTGGCTGCATTGTGAATATTTTATCCGGTCGAGCATTCAAAACAATGAAAACTATTTAAGGCCGAGCTAAAAGTTTTCCAGTGTAAATATTTTAGCCAAATTGAAACTTATGCGGCAAGTTTGTTAAAACAATTTATAACAATTTGGGCTGAAACTGTGCATAAAAGATTTTGATGAATAGCTGATACTCTGTGCTCTGCACTTCCATTAATTATTGCAGCTGCTTTAGATACCAAATAACAATCATGGAACTATATTCGATTTTCTCAATGAACCAAGACACCGCACTGTTTATTTGCCCTAAGATCAATTAAAAATACGTCAAATTAGAAGTCAAAAAAAAAATGTTCTTTACAGAATGACATTTTGAAAGAAGGACAATTGGGAACCGTATTTTAGTACATCGAAGTTCTAAGCATCCTGATCAGCGTCATCGTCAGCATCTTCATCCTGATCATCATCATCATCATTATCATCGTTTTCATCTGCATCATCATCAGCATCTTCATCATTATCGTCATCGTTATTGACATCGTTATCATCATCGTCATTATCATCATTGTCATCGTCATTATCATCATCCTGCTGAGGTCCACGCGATGGCCCATGTCCGGGTGGGCCACGTGGTGGTCCGTATCCGGGCGGACCACGCGGTGGTCCCTGAGCAGGTGGTCCACCTGGACGACCCGGTGGTCCCTGGCCGCCGGGACCGCGCTGCGCCAAAACGGCGACAAACAAGACGGCAAAGATGGCTAATGTAATAGCTCTCATGATTAACTGTTAATTGCATTGGCTGCAAACGCTCTTTTATAAGCCCAACTCCAGCTGTCGCTTATTTGAACAGTTGCCCCGGGTCAATAGAACAAGACAGTTGGTTATGCCAATCTATTGGCATTGGGCAAATAATTCTCGCAACTAATGCAGTCTAAATGCTTACGTAGAAAGTTTTCCATTGCCATAGTGCGAATATAAATCGATCGAATGGCATGACTAATAGACCCGGTTTATTGTTTTATGTGCTGAGATAAGGGCTACGTTGGAAACATTGTGCGATCTATCGGAACTGACAATTGTTCAACGATTAAAAAGCTAAAATAGCAACGAGAAACATTAACTTTTTTATGAAAGCTACTTGGTAACTTATCTTGAGTGCTCTAGGCATTATGATAATGTCATGTTGACATAACGAATTGAAAGTCTGGACAAATTCTTTGTTTTAATCTTTTCGAGTGCCTTTTTGAAAAGTAGTCTAAAGTAAAGTGTGGAATATGTGATTTCTCAATCGTATAATTAGAATAAAACCAACTACTTATAATAACATATCATTTCGTTCCTTAACTATACAAAAAAACCATCACTTGGTTTTCAATTGCCTTCTTTTGCTATCTTCACGTTACATCGAACTTATAATTAAATTCCTACTTGTGCTTCTTAGGGAGTACTTATGCACTTGCCGATCCGCTGCCCTCCACTGATTCAGTCGTTGACTCAGCGGATTCGCCGGAACCCTCGGTCGTTGATGCTTCGGGTGCCTTGGTAGTCTCGGCCGGCTCCTCGGGTGCCTTGGTTGACTCATCAGGCTCCTCTGTTCCCTTGGTAGACACTTCAGGCTCTTCCGGTGCCTGGGTAGACTCTTCGGGTGCCTTGGTTGACTCTTCAGGCTCCTCTGTTCCCTTGGTAGACACTTCAGGCTCTTCCGGTACCTGGGTAGACTCTTCGGGTGCCTTGGTTGACTCTTCAGGCTCCTCTGTTCCCTTGGTAGACACTTCAGGCTCTTCCGGTGCCTGGGTAGACTCTTCGGGTGCCTTGGTTGACTCTTCAGGCTCCTCTGTTCCCTTGGTAGACACTTCAGGGTCTTCGGGTGCCTGGGTAGACTCTTCGGGTGCCGTGGTTGACTCTTCAGGTTCCTCTGTTCCCTTGGTAGACACTTCAGGCTCTTCGGGTGTCTGGGTAGACTCTTCGGGTGCCTGTGTAGTTTCTGTCGGTTCTTCGGGTACCTTAGTTGATTTCTCAGGCTCTTCGGGTGTCTGGGTAGTCTCAGTTGGGTCTTCTGGTGCCTGAGTGGTTTCGTCAGGGTCACCCGAACCTTCGGTTGTTGAATCCTCTGGTTCCTCTGGGGTTTTAGTGGTTTCTACGGGCTCTTCTGGCGCCGGAGTAGTCTCCTCAGGTACATCAGGCGTAGATACTTCTGGTGCCTGGGTAGATTTCTCTGGCGTTTCTGGGGTTGACTCTTCCGGGGCCTGGGTGGATTGCGTTTGGGGTTCCTCAGGCGTTGATTCTGGAGGTTCTGGAGTGCTTGGCGGTGCTGGCGGCTGTTCAGTGCGAATTTCATGCTTGTTATGATGCTCCCAGCGCTCGTCTCTATGCCAACCGTTGACATCGCTATGCCAACCGCCAAAGTTGCCATGCCATCTATCCCCATTACGATTCCAGCGGCCATGATCCAAATTGTTGCCCCAGCTACCTGAGTTACCATGCCACTGATCACCGTTGCCATTCCAGCCGCCACGCTGAACATTTCCTGCCCAGCCTCCATGGTAGCGTCCCCAACCAAAGCCATTGGGCCTGGCAGGGACCACGGCGCAGAGAACCGCGAATACCGCAATTGTTAGAACCTTCATTTTGCTATTGTTCGATGTATACTAATCGGCACTGAGTATAGAACGGCTTTTTATATGAAGAAAGCAGGTGGTCATTGTCAGCGCAGTTACCATGGCTCTCAGACATTCTGTCCATTCACTACAAAATATTATCTAATCGCAATCTCAATTATAGTGGCTGATAAGCAAAACGGCAAAAAAAAAAGAAAATAAAGTAAATTTCATTTCGTACTAACCACCGACAGGTCTGCGTGTAGCAATACGTGTTCTGCTGATTTGTTTGGGGATTTTGTTTTCAATTGTGTATTTTTTATTTTATTCGAATAATAGATTATGTTAATCTTTCGATGATGAACTGGTTAACGCCTTGGTGACTTGAGTTGGACAGGTTAGGGTTTCCTTTAACCTCAAATTATTTTCCGTTGTAAAGTATACAAGGTTAAGATTTAAGATAGTACTCTGTTTGGCAACTGTCGAACCTTCGGTTATTTTCCATATTCAGTTTGGCTTTATCGCAACTCAATTGGCGGGGTCTATGGATGGGCTGAGTAATCGATAATGAATTACCAATCGGAATGCGTTAAAATTCGGTTGACTTGATAGCTGGGGGCGTTAACATTTTTCAAGGCTTATCAGATTGAAATGAAAGAGCGTACCTTTAGTTTGCTACGACAGCTTTTAAGTACCTTTTACTTCTACAGACTAGGTTTATTGAACTAAGGACAACACACGCATTCAAAGATAATTCTACATAAGCCCAAATGCCGTCCATTGTAATACCACTTATGTTGCATTTGAGCTAACATCAATATTTAAATCAAACCATCAACTTTTATCTAAATATCGATAAAAATTATTTTGATAACTATTAAGTGCCTCACTATATCTTATCCATATCTTAAAATTGTAATCTACATATGTATATATTTTCCTACGTATAAATACTCCATATTAGCATTTGATAAAAGAATTTCCCACACTCAACATTTATGTCTGGCCCTGATCATGATTCCTTTACGTGTTTTCTTTCATTAGTCACTCAGAAATCATCTAGAATTTTTCGTTGTTATCTGCATTGCATTGTTTACCCTATTTGGTATCTGAAAGCTGTGCGACTTTGCAAATTATTGTAAATATTTATTTATGTGCCTGCAAACACAGCGAGAACATATAACACATTATGTTTTTTAATTAGGCAAATAAAAATATAAGAAAAAAGTGAAGTAGTTCCACGGAAGCGCTTATCAGTGAGAGGGGCTTACCCATCACGCAAAATGATTAATCATCTGATCATTTAAAACTCATTTACTAAATTGACATTCAATAATTTGAATGTCGGCGCATGATATCTGAATATTTTTTAATGTGTTCCGAGTTTCACTTTCTCCTTATAATAGAACAAATTTTGGGATCATAGATTTCACAGAATGTGTAATTTTGAGAAATTCGTTTTTATAGTCGATATGATTTTTATGGATAGGAAATTTTTCTTAGGAAATATCTTCTTTTATTATAAAAATCAAAACAGATTACAACTAGAAAATTTTTTTATTTTCCTCTCTCTTAGCCTCTCCCTCTTTCCTTCTCATTATATGTATTATTATGAAGTCCATGAATGACTTTTTTATAGCTTCTATAAATTTGCCATTCATGCTGATATTTCTTTCAGACAACTGTTTAACCAAGTCAAACATTTGCTAACTTGAAAACTTTTTGTATTAAGAACTTCTTATGCGGTGCAATCAGAAGTTGAAAATGAATGCATATAAATGGATCTATCCCCCTCTTTGTCTTCTTTCAGGCTGAGTACTCACTGGTGAAGCGAAATAAACCGTCGCTGTCCATTGTCAATCCGTTGGATGTGCTGCGCCAGCGGCTGCTGCTGGAAATAGCGCGCAGACAGATGAAGGAGAACACACGGCAGGTGAGGAGTGAAGAGTGTGGTCTGAGTTGGCCACCATTGTCCACTTTGGTATTTTTAATAAGCGCAAATGAGCACAAGGAAAACTTTTCAGTTTTGTTCCATTCAACCTGCAAGATAAACAAAGGAAAAACCAACGCAAAGCACAATTTTATTTTATACTCTCTGGCAGTTGCGAGTTGAAAGTGCGATTTGATGTAAATGGAAAATTGTTGCAGCTAATCAAAATTTGTGTTGCAAATGGCAAAAAGAAAATAGTTGGAAAGAAACTTAAAAGGTCATGCGCATCGTTTTGCGTAAACTTTTTTCATTTAGCGAGCAGCTAAAAGAACAATAAATTTATGTATTTGCAAATAAGCGTCAAATGCCTAGCCAGTGGCAAGGTCGTCTCACGCTTTCCATTTCCCATTTTCCTGTTGCCCGTCTCTCGTTACGTTGCGGTCCATTGTCAGACACTCGCCCAAAGGCGCATCTTATCGCTGGGCATTGAAAAGCCCGCATGCTAGCCATGTAAATAACACATAGGTAGATAACAAAAGGAAAGCTGATATAAGCAGGAAAGTATGAATGGGTGTGAATGACTTGAAGATGCCCTCTGACCTCCGCAAATATAGCCTGAGAACTGACCTATACACTCGCTTAAATATTAATAAAACATTTCCTTAATCGAATCTATAAGAAATATGCTTCTTGGATATCCACAACATGTTCAAAACTAAACCAAATTTTTATAAGGAACACCATTTGGGCCTTGGCTTAAAACTTAAGAAAACTTCTTTGAAGCCATATAATACAACATACCAAATATTTTCCATGTACAGGGTACAAAATAAAAAGCTTCTGGAGCTTAAGGCTGTTGGCAGCCAACAAGCAAAGGCTTAGTGGCATCCCGTTTGCGTGTATGGGGAAACCAACGCGTCGTATAATATAAATATTTCACCATGGCAACAAAGCGAAATTTATTTGGTTACCAAAATGTTGATGCACCCCACAGCGTTAGGTAAAATGTGGCAAGAAAATCAAACGATTTAATGGCAGGAATTCAAACGATTTGGCCCTTGGGTGCCTCTCGAACAGAGATCCCGACTAAGGAGTGGCTGTGCGCTCCATTTACACATGTCAAATCATATGTATATTGATTTGTCAAAGGGACACCATAAAGTGCTGCATGAATGCGAGCTCCGTGAAAGGAAAACTCTTCAGTGCACTCGAATAATTGAGTTTTGGGTGTAGAAAAGGCGGAAAACTCGTGTTCTTAAATAACAAATGGTGATTCATTTAATAAAGTATTCAATAAGAAATATTTTCATATACTTAAGAGTATTTAGTATTCTATAGTGTAGTATTTTCCTCAGGCGCCAAGGTCGTGGAGTTCTCAGGCTCAGCTGTAGTGGAATCTTCAGGTTCAAGTGTGGTGCTATCCTCCTGCGGCGGTAGGGTGGGGCGATGTCCATGTGGTGGACGCTGGCCGTGTGGTGGACCCTGTTCGTGGTCGTGAGGAGGACGTTGTCCCTGCGGTGGACGCTGATTCTGGTCCTGAGGAGGACGCTGACCATGGCCTGGTCGTTCTAATAGAATACCAGAATTAAAAATAGATCAGTTAAGAACGAACCCAAAGGACTCACCATTCGAGTCCTCATCACTGCTTGGAGGGCCCACTGGCCGCTGGTTCTCGGCTCCTTCCTGTGGTGGCCTCTGCTGTTCAATTGCTCCGTCGTGGCCAAGCCTTTGTGGGTAGGCTGCTACCAGCACCACCAAAAGGCTAGCTGCCAGCACTGTAATTACTATAGATTTCATGGTTGGATTGTTGGTTATAACTGTTTGAGCATTTGGCTTTCCTGGTGGCTTTTATAAGACTACGCTCATGTGGGAAAACAGAATTCTCAGGCATGCGATACATGTTGGTATAATCTTATCGCGCCCAGACATTCCAGGGAATATCCCAAAAAGTGACTAAATTGTTTTTCTATTATCTAGCAGCAATTTAAGTCGTCATAACATAACAACACGAACTGCAATTCCTCAAGTGTATCACTTCTATGTACGTCGCACTTAACAACTATCTTATGGGGTATTCCGATTACTAACTGCAAATTGTTTGCTGATAAGAACATTGATAATTCAGCTATTGTATAAATTCAATTAGTTTTTACAATTATATGCGGTGATTACCTATAATACTTTTGTACTTAATATAATGATTGAACAAAGGAATATATAAATGTTGGGAATAATTAATATTCGATTTAGAATATATTAAAATATGGTAAAAAATGAAAATCAAATTTAAACAAGTAAGAGGTTCTAGTCGGGAGCTCCCGACTAGGGGATACCCTGAACCCTCTTCTTCCAACATCAAATGCATATATATATTCTATTTTAGAAACTATATGTCAAGTTTGGTTACTCTAGCTCTTATTATTTACCGAAATTGCCCAAAAAACAGGATATCGATATCGATTTTTATCGATTGCTTGGCAACGGATTAAACTGTCAATTATCGGAAACAAACTCGATCTGCGCAGGCACTAGGAGCACCTGCATCTAAAATTTCTCTAGCTCTTATAGGTTCTGAGATCCTTGCGTTCATACATACGGACAGACGGACAGACGGACGGACGAACGGACGAACAGACGGACAGACAGACAGACGGACACGGCTAGATTGACTCGGCTATTGGTGCTGATCAAGAATATATATACTTTATGGGGTCGGAGATGCTTCCTTCTGCCTGTTACATACATTTGGATTTTGCACAAATACAATATACCCTTATACCCATTTTTAATGGGTTCAGGGTACGAAAAAAATGTAAATGTAAGTAACACAAGCTATATTTTATATTAAACGCAGAACAAGTTTCATTACTTCTGACAATTATCCAAAATCGATAAATATCGCTTTGTGGCTCCATTTCCCTTCGAATTTATCGTTGATTGAAAGAGCTTGTGATACTTAATTGATTGAGTATGTTTGTTCTTGTCCCACAGAAAGCAAATATTTTCGCTCAAAAGTAAATAATATTTTGAGATATTACCTTGGTTATTGGTATATATCCATAAGTATCTGAATATCATCTTTATGCCTTATAAATGTTAAAGTCGTTGGTTATGAGCAGAAGAAACTTAATAACAAAGAAATATAATCTACGGCATATACTCGACAGATATCTGATGAAGTAAACAGTTTGCTGCACAGAGTATTTATTTTACGGTTCTTGCCTGATTCAAGTAAGTATATATTATAGCATACTTTTCAGGCGATTCCATTGCGCACAATTCGTAGCGTACTATTTGGAGTATTCAAGTAAACTTTTTTTGCAAACAATTCAGATGCATTTAAATTCACCAAAATTATTTCTAAATATACGGCAAATATAACACTGAAATATATATTCAGTCTTGCGAAAATTAATTTAGACAGGAAATAAACAGACTAAGACCTGAGAAAACTGTAAGTTTAAAATGCAATTAAAATTGTTTAATTAGAGCATAAATCTAATTGACAGTGTGATAAATTAAATATTTATGCTATTTATGTGGGGCGGAAAGTGGAGCGAATCCCCAAGGAGCTGTGGCGTGGCACACATTGCGAATTACTCGCAACATTCCCTCTACTCATTTCCTATAATGTCAAACGTTTTTCCTCTTTACTTTTCACACCCTGCGCACAGGTTGAGTTGAATCGGGCCATACTGAAGAACGTGGGTAAACGTGTGTTTCTGGAGCCGGTGACTTGGGGCAACAGCCGCTACCAACAGCAGCAACAGCAACAGCAGCAGCAATTGGAGCGACAGCGTGAGCTGCTCCGTCGCGAGGAGCTGCAGCAGCAGCATTTCCCCAGTCAACTCTGGAGCTACGGCTGGCCGCAGTCCGACTCCGGCTCTGTCGCCGGCTCTGTCGCTGGCAACGCAGCAGCCTCTCCCGTCTCCTCCTCGGCGATAGCTGCCTCACGGTTTTTTGATTTTCTACAGCCACCGGCAAAACAGCAGCAGCTGCTCGACGATGCCAACAAATCCCTAAACGCCGGCGCCCTCGGCCAGGGCATGGCCAAACATCAGCAGCCAAACGGAAATGAAATTGCAAACGAAACAAATCATTTAAATGGCAATCGCAAAAGCGCAACAAGCCTTCTGGCTGGCATGGAGGAGGAGCAAGAGGATAACGGCGAGGACCAAGACGAAATGTTGGATGAGCTTAACTTGAACTGGGCCAACGAGCAGCCGATGGATGATATGGACAGAACCCTAGAAGCAGCAAATGCAAATGGACGGCTACCCTGGCGTCTAATCTATCGCATGCACAAAAATCCACACTTTGCTAATTAAGTGACAGCAGCTAAAGATACAGATACAAATGCAGATGTAGACGCAGATACAGATACAGATACATACACAAATACAGATACACAACGAACACAGACAGACACTGTTACAGATACAGCAAACAGTTTTAGAGTTTAACTAGATGTTAGTAGTTGCTAAATTGACGGTTCCTAATGGCTGGCTATAAGACAGGCATATTGTGTGTGCAACCCTCCGATAAAGAAATCCTCCCTCCCCCCCTAAACGACCTGTTGCTAAATGCACTCAAAGCTCACACTCACACTCACACTCACTATTTGAATTTCGTCTCGGTATTTGTGACTAAATGGTTTATGTAACGATTCATGCTACCTCTTTCTCAGATGCTCTACTTAAACAAAATATATAAAATCCACATGAAACGAACGTTCCCTTTACTCAACGTAATTATACTCAACAATTGTATTTATTGACTAACAGAAAAATTAAAAAAAAAATATATATAAAAATAATGTCAAAAAAAAAATATATATATATATATATATATACATGTATATGAATTTGTTTAATAGCATAAATGATGTTGATTGATAAAAATAAATAACATGTGTAGTTTTTAAATAAATATTATAAAGTGCAATATGCATGCTTAAATACATATACCATATAATGTATGTGTGGATCATTAAATGCTTCAGCTATTCAGTTTAATATTAATGTATTAAATAATGAATTTTTTAATTTTAATTATGCTTTTTATAAAAAAAATATCGCTGAATTCGATTTCTTTGACAGCAGTTTAAATTCTCCGCTGGCGGAATGCGTATTTTCTTTAAGCTTAATATTTTTTCAACATTTTCAATGAGCATACAGTAATTTTAGCTGCAATATTTATAATGTTAAGATGCTCAAAATGAAAAATAAATAGTTCTGATTGAATTTTAAAGAATATTTACAATAGTAAAAACCTTAAGGATCTCACAGAGTTTAAACTTACTGTCAAATCGGAATGTAACTGTTAACTTAGTCATGCATATTGTATCATTATTTTCATTAATTTCTTCGTTTAGCTAAGATATGAAAGATGTAACAAAGTTAAGAAAAATGTTGAAGACACAAAAAATGGTTGCAAATCATACAAAATACGACTAACGATTTTAATGTAGATGAGCTACTTAATTCTAACCTCAAGTTATGCATGTGAAAACTAAAACTCAATTAAACTATCTACATATATATGATAAACAAATATATTAAAGCTATTTGTTGGAAATGGATCGAGTCGACACACAAATACACTACCAAACACATACACACTTATGTTAATTTATGAGTTTTATGCAAAACGAAAAGGAAACAAAGATAATTTTCTATATGTAAATAAACGATTTTCTCATACAGATAATAAAGCTGAATAAACGAAAGTAAACGCGAAATCAAATGATTCAAAACTATATATATATGTTTATATATTACATGGATTATAATCGTATATGTACGCATGTATATGTATGTATTTATTTTAATGAAACCAGTGAATAATAAAAAACACAAAATATGGAAACGGCATTCAATACCAAAGCGCTTGATTTTTAATGGGTGCGATTCAAGGAAAAAACATATAATATTGTTCGTTTATTGTTAGTTTATTTTTATTATAATTATTAGCCTTTTATTTTAAATAGTTAGTATAACATTAATGAGCTCTCAACTAGTAGTTCCTTCGACAAATAAGCCACTAACCTAGGGGATGGAAACAAGACACAGACAGACCAAGGAATATATGAACATTAGTTAAAAGTGTACTGACAGATCGAAACTAAAAGCTTGCTGAACATTTGAAATCTAACAACATTAGTCATTTATTCCATCCTCGTACTTGAAGTAATATTATTGTGGCGTTAAGCATCTATTGATTAAGTCAAAAATCTAAATAACATTTATTTAAGTTCTTTAAAAACACAAGCTGTTTGATGTCTCTTTCTTACCAGCTGTTATATTTGCTTTGTCGAATATATTTTAAAACAAATTTCCCCGAAACCATATTAAAAAATTAATTTAGGCATGCTAGATAAGAGGGGAAACGTTTATTTTCAGTTGACAAGTGTATTTGAAGTGTAGATTGTGGCCAAAACACTTAAGCGTAATTCTAGACATGGGCCAACAGCTAATTATGGTGTACGATGGATGTGCCCTTGGGGTTGCCACATGAAAAGCTCGAGGGTATAATTAATAAACTTGTATTATCTCTGACGTCTCTTACACGAGACGCTCAACAGACACACAAAACAGTGCCCGGAGTATCCGTCATAGGGGCCCAAAGAATAGGAATAGGACTTCCAAAAACGATAATTATCACAGTACCATTACGAGCACGAATCACGTACAAAACAGTCGACAGCAGAACAAACAATGACAGGGACAACAAGTGGAGTGTATGCTGTGGTGGTGTGTATTTTGTTGTGTGTGGTTGTTTTGTTTTTTTTTTTTTTTTCTTCCTTGTGACTCTCAGTACTCATTTGATGTCACAGAGCAACGCAACGCCGCGCAGTGTCCAGTGTTTGGGATTGAAATCGGTCTCGAAATCAATGGAACCCACATACTTGAGGTCGGTGCGCTGCGGCTTCCTATAAATTGGGCACTCATACAGCTTGGGATCCTTGCCGGCGGTTGTGTTAATGGCATATATATATATGACCGGCATTTGTTCATACAGCACCTTCATTTTGGACTCAATCAGCTTGCCGCTGCGTCGATCCAGTGAGGCGCCTGCAATAAAAGACAATAAAAAGCCAATGTTTAAATCCACGCCAAGTTATGCTTACACCTAATTGTGGGCATGTTAATAGGTTGGCCAGCATAAAGTTGGCCTACGTTCGGGGAATATGTGTTAGGGCCCACGCATGTGCTTTCCCTTTTTGCGGTCCCAAATCTTTATTAGCCTGGCAACAAGATTGCCGTGTTTTAATAGACAGGCGAAAAGCCAGGAGAAGCCCCCATTCTAATTGTCCCCATTGGCGGGGCACGTGCAAAAGGCGGGCAAAACTTATGTACTATAGAAAATGTACATTAGTCCATTTGTGTGTACGACGCTGCGTATGCGTTATTTAATTTTGCCGCCAATTGTGCACACGCATTTGGCACTGCAGTCGGATTTATGCAAATGCCAAAATTGTCGAATTCAGCTGTAAATGCATTCCCTTTTTATTGCCATATGCTTGAATTTGTCTTATCACGTCACGTATAAGCCATTAGAGAACTGCTAGTTGGCACTTATCTATCGCATTCAATACACTTTTTTTGGCTATTGTATAGATAGATCTATTGAGAATACAAAGCTTTGTTTGCCATGGAAGTTTTGAGTAAGCTGTAAAAACACCTGAGAAAATCCATTGACAATGCACGCCTTATTATTATTAGATTGTGACGGAAGCTACCCTGTACTACATATAGAAGTTGAAGAAATGTCAGTCATATGTATTAAATTCTATTTAAGCTGATTAAGCTTTGATTTACAAGAGTTACATTCTCTACTTGAAACTTGTAAGGATGGGAGATTGATATAATATTTCAGGAAATACCCTTAAACCAAGGAGCTCAGTTTTTTGGTTTTCCAAATTTAACTACAAAATTTAATTTAAAAGTGGCATGTAACATCAACCATGTACATTTAATTAACAAGTTCAGCTAGCATGTGGAGCATAAAAGCCCTTTTGCAAAGAATTGAAAACAAGCCGCAAAAACTCGTACGAGCATGACAAAAAAGTCGTAATACCCATTCTAGAAACAATGTACATGTAAAATATGTTACAAATATGCACAAAAGAAGCCTTCGCTTTGCTGTTCGGTGGAAAATTCTACAACTTTTGGGTCTCCCACGCCCCCAGCTAATCAACAGCTGACCACAACAAAGATCTGCAGGATAAGCAGAACGCACGCAACACAAATTATGCCTTTAACATTCGTATTATCACACACAGAATTTAGTCAAGCAAAAAAAAATAATAAGATGGATAGAAGCCGCACACACAAGCCGGCACCAATTTGTGTGGTCAACAAAAGGGCATGAACCTAGACCAAGGACTAAGGAAGCAGATGACATTGTAAAGCAAATATATATATACATATATATAAATATATATGGCGAATGCGGATACATTAGGTGCAATATATACAAATACAAATGAGATCCTGAATGTGAAGTGTAGCAAAAAAAACTAACAATTCGCACCGGCATGGCATTTAAATGAGATGATAACGCGCGGTGGTAAAGGCAGGTGTTGATACTTACCTTCCAGAAATAGTCCATGCACGTATACACCCTCTGTGGGATACTCGGTAATGTCCTCCTTGTTGTACCGCGTTATTTGATTCTGCAGCACAACCGAGTCGAGTGCCCAGCCTTTGTGTGCTCGTGTTACCTCCTGACAATTCCAGCGGCACACGCGACGTATACGCAATGCCAAAGCAGCAGAAGCACCATCAATGGCCCAAGCCAGCGCCCAAGTTGTGGCATATAATAAAAAAGAGGAAAATAATTGCACAAATGTGTGAATAACTTGAAGCATATTGAATATCAATAAATGGTAAGAGGAATATAGTTTCTTTTAGATGTGGCAGGAATGTAAATCTTTGTTACTTACCTAGTACTACAAGTACTAGTACTACAAGGATTTATAGATATCCAACATATTTTGTTGATTATTAACTTGACATCGAGCCAAGCAATATACAAAAATCAATACAAGGTCTGTAACTTTTATTTGTAATAATTTCTGTATCAAGGTTAACCTAACAATAATAACTATAAAATGTATATACAATTCATTGGGTATCTATAAGTACAACGCTTTAAAATGCATCGTACACACGTTTTTAAAGTTGAATGTTTATCATATCCCTAGAGCAAAAACACGCCGCGTATGAAGTAATTATTGACACGAGTGCCCAACAACTAGAAATAGCTTATTATCCAGCTTAAGTCCGTTTAGCGTTTTAGGAGTTGTGGCTGACTTTTTTTGTGCTAATATGTTCGCTCTTTTGTTATTCAAAAAACCGATGTCATAGCAAATGGCAGAAAATGCAATTTATTTTTTTATACTCACTTGCCGCATGGCCGTCAGAAAACCTTGTGGATTAAAGAACCCTGTCATCCAGAAGACCTTTTTGAACGTTTTGACAAACATTAAAAAGAAAGATAAAAAACAGGTGACTGGGCTTACCTTTGGACGATCCGTGGATATCCAGTTACGAAATTGTCCATTGCGCTCCAGCAGCTCAGTATACCAAAAGCCAAGCGTTGTGGACTCCCAGGATATCTGAAAGGTACAAGCGGCATGACAAGAATTACCAACTCGCCGATACAAGGGAAACTAGTTGCCAGTTGTTTATTAACTGAGAATATGTGTTTAAATAAATATACATGTGTATGAGCGATATGTGTACTATAGTGTAAAAAGTTATATTTGTATCTAGTTGTCAAAGCCCTTGCTAATCTTGATGTTCATAGCACGACAGTACTCCTCCATTTCTTGCAAGGCATGCTGGTGAGAGTCTCGCTTGGAATACTTGGGCAGTTTATACTCAATTGTGGGATGATACATATCGCTGGTTTTCTTGCCGCGCGTTATGGTGAATTCGCCCTGATCGAACAACTTTCGTTTCATTTCAAACGTCATTTCCGTATTGTGCGAAGGGGCTTGCGCTAGTAGCGAGAGTGAAGATTCACTGGAAAACGTTGACATCGATTCAGACATAATCGAAGAAACTGAACTCCGGTGGACAGTTTGCAGACGGTCCGTCAGCATTTGTGAATTGAGGGGAACCGTGTTCTTTGGAAACGGAGTGGCCGTTTTGCCGGTCTTCATGAATCCATAATCACGATTTCTCAGCGGAATACGTGAAGTAGCCTCCACATTTTCCCTCTCGAAATCCAGGTGCTTCGGCGTGGTAGGTTTTGCACGCGATTCATGTCCAGTCCCCTTCAACATGTTCGAATTGAATTTTTCAACCACACCTATTATTAATATCTACGCATTAAATGCAGGTGCTCTAAATGCTTAAGAGACATACCGTAAAAAAGAAATATATAAAATTTACGATTCGCTTTTTTTGATTCAACCGCTCGTATTTTGAAAGTGTATTTTTTTGTTTTGGCGTGTGAACTGCTTCAGTAAGGGAATAGAACTGAATTTATGTCTCATTATTTTTACAATCTCCCATTTTCGAATATCCCAACGCTTGCTTTTCATCTTTATTTGTTTTGTAAAGGCACACTCAAATCCAAATTTTAAAAATGAATCCATCCTTTAATAGATTTATAGCACTTAATATTTTATCTTATGATTAATGATTTTTTCCAAATTCTTTACTAATACTCTATGCGTAACTCTAAGATGTACCATTATTTCAAACCTGCATTCAATTTTCCCATTATATTTAATAGTTTGCTTTTAAATGTCATCCAATTTATCCAATAATTTACACATCGCTTCATCCTAAAATCGACCACCAAAATGTCGGTAATTATCTCACATTATTATCATACGTAATTTGCTACATTTATTTGCTTTGATCCCAACCCCCAACTGAGTTGGCAATTATTGTCCTGACCCAAGTAAAAAAAGACAACCCCAAATATGGAAAAATATCCCACAATCGTCTGCCCTCCTCTTAAACCGCGTGTCAATTAAAGAAGATGCGGCGAGGCGTTAAACGTTTACACGCATAAATATTAAAGGCCCAAGACCCACCGCACAAAATCAATCAAAATTTTATAAGCGGCAATTGAAAACGCGCCAACAATTTGGCAGCCGACTAAACAGTCCCAGCACTGGGATAGCAGGAGCTGTTTATATGCTATGTATAGTATCGTATATAAGATATATATAATATGTTATATATACATTTATTTGAGAAGCTCTGTGCCCAGTTTCGGGTCCAAATTTGTTTGTGCGCCGATAAAAATCTCGTGAGACAATAAAAAAAAAGAACCAGGCAATGGCCCACGCTGAGCAAATCGTACGTTAAGATTACTTTCGGCCACGTTTCTCTGTGGGACACCACGAACTGTGCATAAACTGAATACAGTTGGCCGGCACCTGAGAGACCATAAAATGTGCCCACACTTAAAGTTAAAGCAAATGCTAGTGCGTAAAATGTGCTCTAATTTAATAGACGCACACACACGCACATACGCACACCCACCTTCATCCAGGTCTCCGGTATACGGGCATCATACATGGCATCCAGTGACTCCTTGAGCGCCGGACTCATCACAATGGTCCCATCTATGGCCAGCTTTAGATCGCATAAGCATGTGTGGACGCGTTTGATGACGCGTTGCATGCGATCGATTTCCTGCCTAAAAACGTATGCAAGTAGGTTAATCAGATCGGGTCTGGACTGGACTGGACTGGCTGTCCCGTCCTTGGCTTACCTGAGAAAGATGTTCATGGGCAGCAGGATGCCCATGCGTGTCAGATTCTCACGCACCTCGTACTCATTATATTGGGCCGGTAGCTTGCGCAGCATATCCTCAGCCAGTTGATAGACGATGCTTTCCCGGGTCTCGCCACCTCCGCCGCCACCCTCCTTGGGCTGCACACTAAGTATGGTATCGAGTATGCCTGCAACAACAAAAACAAGTAAGAGGTTCTAGTCGGGAGTTCCCGATTAGGGGATACCCTGAACCCGCATATTCCAGCACCAACTGCAGCACGCGTTACGCGCTTGTTTGTAGTAATAAATATAAAGTTAAAAAAAAAGTTCCCTCGGCAGAGTTCAAACTTGCAACTAACCGCACTACTTGCCCCCGCCTCTACTCAACAGCCACACCAATCATTAAGTCATAATGAGAAAAAAAAACGAATTCAAATAGCAGCACAGAAAAAATACAATCACAATTGCAATGCTGTTGATAGAATTCGAAGCAGACGCGCATGAATGTGTGTGTACATGTATACAGAAATGTTTGAAATTGGCACTAGCTGCCGCAAACACGTGTTTCTTAACTGATCTTAATAAAATTTTCTACAGTATATCTTATTGTACCATAGAATATTTGTGTATTCTCAAAAAGTCAATTGCCCTTAAATTGTGGCTTAAATTGGTGGGCAATATAAGTTGGGTTATTAACTTGATTTATAGCTCTGCGGTGGTAGCGGGGAGGTGGTGATAGGAATAAAATGAAAGATACTTGACATATACATATAAAATATTCTAGAAGCACTATAGCAAGTTTGGCGACTCTAGCTCTTAATATTTACCCAATTTGCTCAAAAACAGGATGTCGATATCGATTTTTATCGATTGCTTGGAAACGGAGTAAGTTATCGATTATCAGAAACAAACTCGATCTGCGCAGGCAGTAGGAGGACCTACAGCTAAAATTTCTCTAGCTCTTATAGGTTCTGATATCCTTGCGTTCATAAATACGGACAGACGGAAATGGGTAGATCGACTCGGCTATTGATGCTGGTCAAGAATATATACTTAATGGGGTCGGAGATGCTTCCATCTGCCTGTTACATACATTTGCATTTTGCACAAAAACAATATACCCTTTTTACCCATTTTCAACGGGTTCAGGGTATAAAAACAACAAAAGTCGCCTGTAAACAATAGCGCAATACTCTGTTCTCATTAATGGGTAACTCCAAAACTGTGGCCAACAAAACCTTAAAGCTGTATAGACACGATCCATATACCCTTCATCCAATATACACTTTTTCACATTCTGAACGGAGAACAAATGCAATGAGTCGCCCGTAGGTCACTTATGCAAATGCGTTAATTACCTTGCGTGGGTCGCTGATTGGTTTTACCTTTTGGAAATAAGCCACAAATTCCACAACTAAAATGTATAGAATTTATTTATCGGTTTCACACAACACAGCACACACAACACACGCGAACACACACCTTCCCACGCACTCAAATGCAAATTGTGTATTAAATCGAGTGCATTTCTAATTTATTGTCTGGTTTTCTATGCACTGACGTCACAGAAATGAAGTGTGGCACGACTAATTAATAGGCCACCAGATATAAATAGCAACAACTAAACGCTGTCTAATGTCGACTACGCGATATCCTGTGTGCAGTGCTGTAATACTTCAACCAAATAAACCTTACCTTCTTACCTTTATTTCTTACCTTTTAATCTTCGAGACATGCTTGAAAACCCAAGCCTGCATACTGTACATATTTTTTTTTAGGGCAACGAGGGTGGAAAATGTCTGAATATGAAAAGCTATACTCCAAAATTCTAGCTTTTAAAGGCTTTTAGATATTAGCTAATTGAAACAACAAACAAAAATAATAAATACAACTGCAAGAAGTTGAAGTATTTAAAACCTTCTTAGGCGGACTCCATGTGGAAATATAGCGAATTTTTTAAGCTTCAGACCAGAAAACCTTCGACAGGCAATGCCATTGACCTGACCACACAAACAGAGCGTTAATTTCAATTCCCTAAATCAAAGCCAAAAAAAAAAAAAAGAAAATTGAAATCAGACTCACCTTTGGCCGAGTTAATCTGGTACGTGATGTCAGCATTGGAATGCAAGCCAAACACTTCGGGCGTGTCGTAGGCGGGCAGACTATTGATGTAATCGATGAAGCCCTGCAGACTCTTTGTGCTGGGCACCTTGTAGCCCTTGTAGAACTCAAAGGAATTGGACAACAGCTGTTCGCAGAACCACACCGAGGTGAATGTGGTCAAAAGGCGCTTGTCAAAATCATCTGTGACACGGCCGCCGTATTGCACTTCGCCAATCATATAGACAAGCGTTTGCCAGGAGACGCCCTTCTTGGGATCCATTTCATCCAGGTGATTCTGTATAAACTGCACGCTAGCGGCAAAGTCCGCTTGATTGAATTCATAGGGTATATTCCAGCCGAGCGGACCGAATTTGCGTCGTTCCTGGACGATGGTGTGCAAAAAGGCAACTGTATACAGCAAGCAAGGCCATTGCGTCGCGGAGGTGTAGTCCAAAAAGTCCTGCGTAAAGGACTGCAAAAGGGGAATGATAAAAAAGGTGAGAGCTGGAGATAAGATTGGCTACACTTAAAACCATTTTTACTTAACTCTACAACTATTTTGGTGTGTGCGTAAAGAACATTGTTGATATAATAAGTGAAATTGGTTTCGCAACACTGTATTGTGAATAATAACTTAACAACACAGAAATACAGACAAGCACTCATTCATACAAAAGTTACAGTGTAGTAGATTTTTAATACATAAATTATACATACATACATATATACATTATACATAACACATAAATTCTTGGAATTTGTGCTTGCTGGAGCTGATACAAGGAAAGTCAAAGCACGTATTCTTTAATAACGTTTGTGTTTCTTAACCGATCTTGATGAAACAGTACATATTATTGTGCATTAGAATATTTGGGTATTCTCAAAAAGTCAATTGCATTAAAATTGTGACTTAAATTGGTGGGCAATATAAGTTGGGTTCTTAACTTGATTTATAGCTCTGCTGTGATAGCGGGTCGGTGGAGATCGGTATAAAATGAAAGATACTTTATATATATATAATATTCTAGAAGCAACATATCAAGTTTGGTGACTCTAGCTATTAATATTTATTGTCGATATCGATTTTTATCGATTGCTTGGAAACGGAGTAAGTTATCGATGATCGGAAACAAACTTGATCTGCGCGGGAACTAGGAGCATCTACATCTCTAGCTCTTATAGGTTTTGAGATCCTTGCGTTCATACATACGGACGGACGGACGGACGGACAGACAGACGGACATGGCTAGATCGACTCGGCTATTGATGCTGATCAAGAATATATATACTTTATGGGGTCGGAGAAGCTTCCTTCTGCCTGTTACATACATTTGGATTTTGCACAAATACAATATACCCTTATACCCATGTTTAATGGGTTCAGGGTATAATAAACATTTATAAATTGGTTTGAAAATTATTCATATGTGACTTTAAACCAATATTTTGAGCAGTGTGCAAAGGACTCACCTGGTAGCTGCGCTTCAGACTGGCGCGTATGCCCTGCGGCGGCTCGTTAGTAAATTTGAGCGCCATCTGCAGCAGACCAATGGGAAACTCCGAGTGTGGCTCGGTGGTGACCCACATGCGAAAGGTATCATCAATATGCTCAGTCTCGACCAGCATATCAATGACCTC